TAAACAGTGTTGAGTGTCATCTGAACAGATTTATTTGTGGGCTGGGACTTCTGGAAGGACCAGGGGGTTACTGACTTAAGGGGCGACTGGGAAGTTTAGTACAAAGGAATTCAGTTGTCTTCTAGACTCTAGAATCCTGTATTACCAGTCTTTAGTGAACCTTGGTCTCCTCTGCTGCAGAATCTACCCACCAGGGCTGCAGGACATCCTGTCTTGGAAAGATGGCAACTCCTATGTTGTTATCTCCTTGTTCTTGGGGCTGGGTAAATCTACACCCTTAGGCACAGAGCTGGGCAGCAGTAGGTCATTCATAACTCAGACAGAGCTGCTTTTTGGTCTGGTGGGATTGGGAACTCCCTCTGTCCCCAGGGACCAAGGCCAGGCATGGCAGGCATCCCTGCCCTGTTTTGGAGCCGGGAGACCGAGAAAGGGGCCCAGAGGCATAGTACTGCCTTCACCTTCCCTGCCTTCTTTTCTATTGGCCAATACAATCCTCCCTTTTATTTAGCCTGGAAAAAAGAAAGTTAAAGTGAAGACTTAAGGACCTTCTCGGAATGGATCTGCAGAGGACTCGTTTTGTCTGCCGGGACAAGAACCAGAGGCAGTGATGGGCTGAGGGTTCAACAGGAAGGATAGAGGCTAGACTTCAGAAAGGACTTCCCAGCTGTCCTGTGTGGGAGGCGTGACCTCTCCGTCCCCTCTCCTCCTCTCCCCTCGCCTCCTCTCCCCTCCCCTCTGCCAGATCAGGGGGTGAGATGCAGTGGCCTCTTGGAGGAAGGCATTCCGGATGACAGCAGCCTTCATATTTAACATTCTGACTCTCCCCGCTTCCCAGGCACAGAGCTATTTAAAGATCTGCTTGTCTCGAAGGGAGTGTTGGTGACAATCCTGAGCACTAGGTCTTAACACCAGGGTTTCACAATTCTAGATGGCATTGAGCACGATTTTCACCCAGCAGTTTATTTCATTATTCTATTTTTTTCCCTTAATGGTCTTAGTTTGCAGATGACTGAAACAGCCTGCCCACCCCTGTGCTGCCCTCCCTGTTACCCTGTAGCTCAGTACCCCTTGATGTTGCTGGCTCTGAGGTCCCTTCTCCATGGTGTTTATGCAGAACTGTTGGCGCCTGCTGGGCCCCCTGTAATTTGATCTCCTCCAGCAGTGCTGTCTTATTGACAGGGTCCCCTCATCCCCAGCCCCCACTCCTGACCCCCCCCTTCTCACCCCCCACCTCAAGTTAGGGGTGGGGCAGGGCTGGTAATGTAGGAGCTTTAGTTTGGACGGGGGCTTTGGGACTCTCACTTGGCCTCTCTTTGCTGCCCCTCCCTGCCCTGAAGGGGAAACTAGCCCAAGACCCCCTCCCTGACGACTCTCCAAGCAAAGTGAAATAGAATCTGTTTCTCCCAGACTAGGGGTGGGGGTGGGGTGTTAGGGAGGGGGAGGGTGCGAATGTTTGGTCTCACACCCTTAACTACCCAAATGCTGGGCTCCGGGAGGCCTCTTGGTCACCCAGACATGAGCTAGAGTTACAGCCCTGGAGAATTTTTAGAGCTGAAAAGATCTTAGAGAGCATCTAGTCTAGTCCATTTTACAGCTTAAGTGGAACCAGCCAGAGGTGGCATGACTTGTCCAAGGTCAGAATGAGTCTGTGGCAGAGTCAGGACTAGAACCCAGGTCTTTAGATGCCCAGGCCACTGCTCTTGTCACTTCTTCATAAGAAGGGAACCTTACTCATGGTAAGAATCCATCCAGAACATGAGCATCTCCTCCTCCCGAGGCAGGAACAGGGGAGTGTTTCCCACTAGAGGGCAGTGGGCCCTGGGGCCTTGGCACCTGAGAGGAGCCAGGAAAGCAGCAATGGCCCGTGTGCCCAATCCTGCCCCTCAGCCTGCCTCTTAGTGGGTGTCCAGGCTACACCAGTGAAGAGGAGCTAGCCTGGGATTCGACTTCTGATGCCCCAGGCAACAGGAAGGGAACAGGATTCTTCTGCTGAGTAGGTAGGAAGAGCTAAGGTCATCCTGGAAGTTCCCAGTTCAGCAGTGCTTTCAGATTATTGAATGCAATTCAGCCAGCATTTGTGAAGCCCCCACTCTGTACCCACAGTGGTGCTTGGTGATGGGGACTCAGAAACAAAAATGAGTGGGTGTGGATAGGGAGAGGCATTGTGGTACATAGCCTGCCTCTAGGCATTAACTTCACCTCTGAGGGTCTCAGTTTCTCATCTGTAAAATGAGGGGGTTAGACTACAAGCCTGTAGGGTTGGGGAAATTGAGGCTCAGAGAGTCCAAGTGACATAGGCAGAGGTAGGACTTGAACCTTAGTGTCTTTGTACCCCAAGACCAGCTCATTGGTCTTGTTACTGACCTGGGAAGGGGCCCCAGTAAGCCAGTAAGTTGGAGTCAGAAGAGGAAAAATCCAGACCAGTCCTCCCACCAGTAGAGAGGTGGCTTTTCAGACAGGCACAGTGAGGCACAGCAGAGTAGCAGGTCGTTGTAAATGAGAGGAACATAGGAAGAGGAGTGGGGCTAGGAGAGGCATTCTCTCCGGCTCTTACCCTTCCTGCACTGTTCCCCAAGGTGAACATTTCACCCCGGGGGATCCTAAGTCCAAACTAGAGGAGAAGACAGGCTTCTTCTTCATTCTCAACTACTACTTAACTCAGCCCATTTCACACCTCGCCTTTCCTGTAGTGGTTAACTAGGCAGCTGGGTGACTGCCAGCCCAATCCCTGCTGGCTGGCTCCCTTCTTGGCTCTCAAGCATCATTGGCACCAGGTCCTCTGTTCTCCTTCCAAATTACACCTCGTCTGCTTTGGGAAACCTGCCCTACCTGACTTTCAGTGTCCCTGCTCTTCCTTCAACCCTCAAGGCCCAGCCCCAGTCACCTGTCATCTAGTAACTCCACCTACCCCCCACCCCCGGAATCTGATCAGTCTCCTCAGTTGCCCACCTAGTTCCAGACAAGATGTCATCAAAATCCTCACTGATAGAACTTTGTCCCCTTTTCCTAACCATCCCAGAAGAGGCGGGCTGGGGTGGAGGAAAGAGAAAATGAACCTGGGAGGAAGGGGGCATGAGATATGTTCTCTGGTGGCCCGGGGAATGATAGGGATCTATGCTGTGGTCGGGGAGAAATAGTGACTTAGAGTCATTGAAGATCTGAGCTAAAGGGAACTTTTAGAACCATCTAGTCCATCCCTTCTGGAAAAACGAGACCCGAGAGGCCAAGTGTTCTACCTGCCCAAAGTCACCCAGGACAATAGCTGAGGCCGGAAACGACCTCCCTCAGGTCCTGTCTATTGGTCAACAAGCATTTATTAAGTGCCTGCTCTGTGCCAGGCACTAGGGATACAGTCCAACATCTAGCACTCATCATGTCGTAGCATGTTGTCTTGAGCCCCCTTAGACATGACCTCAGTAACTTGGCATCGCAGGGCCATGCCTGGCTGGCTTTGGGGAGGTCTCCCCACTCCCACTCCATCAGCATGTCTCTGTGTTTCCCACTCCAAGGCCACCCAAATTCCCACAGTCCAACTCTGTGTCCTCTTGTCTGTCCTTCATCCTTTCTGCCATTTCTTATGTGAAATAACTCTTATCACCCCTTTCTCTCTCCTCACCCTAACTTGTGTCTTTTCTGTTTCAGTTTAGGCCATCTGCCTTTTCCCCAGGCGTGTCCCCTCTCCCCACCTCTAGGGTATTCTCGGGCCCCACTCACTTTCCTTTCCAGCCTGATTTTTGTGTGTCCCCTCCCCAACCCAAGGTCCTACTTTTCCACTGTTGTCTCCTTATAAAGTAATTCTGTACTGTTAACTGTAAAATAATCAGGGTCTCATTTGCATGATGTTTAGCATCTAGTTCCATGTAATTAATTTTCTATCCAAAGGCACAGAAACCATCCTCGTCTTCCCCCCTCCCCCAGTCAGCCCTCTGCTCTCTTTTGTCAGTGCCCCTTCACTCCTCCCTATGGTCTCCAGCCCGGGCTCTGGTATATCAGGTTGGGCTGGCCGAGCCTGGTTGGGCTCTTCAGTATCTTTTGTGGTGGGATCAGCTTGATCTTAAAGCCTGACACACCCCAAGCTGGCTGCCCCCCTCCAAAAAAAACCCAAAAAACAAACTCCACCCCAGGATCCGGCTTCTCACCCCCAGCCCAGAAGCTGAGGTCACCCGTCTCCCCCTAAACTGTTATCTTTGGGTGGAGGGAGCTGTCATCGACCACTGCCAGGGAGGAGGTGTGGCCCCTGGGGGCTGTTGTCTTAGAGATTGGGTAACTTGGCAGTCCTGAAGAAACAGGTTCCCAGGCCTGCGAAGGACCATGCCAGAGCTGCGCTGGTACGGCCCTGGCTAGGGGAGAAGATGATGGAAAAGAACCACGATTTGGGGCAAGGGATTTCTCTAGTAGGTCCAAGAATTGGTTCCGAGTTTTCCTCAGCCATTTGGAAAACAACTAACTTTCCCTAGGCCAGGAAATGAAAAGCTAAATGTTTGGAATAGAAGGTTGTGGGCAGATGGAATATACAATAATGTAAATGAAAAGAACAATCCCCCACCCCCAAAACCTGAAACTGAGAGCTGAGTACAAGGAGATAAGAAGAGGCCCCCTCCCTCCTCCTTTCTGTGCAGGGATGAGAGTCTCTGAGTGTGGAACATTACTCATACTGTCAGACTTGGGGGATGGCACTTCTCTTGAACTGTCTTCTCTCCCTCCCTACTGCCCCCCTTTTTTTGTAGGGATAGCTCACTGGGTGGGGGAGGGGGAGGACTCTGAAATGAAAGTGATATAAAACAAAGGCTATCAATTAAAAACATTTTTTTTAAATGTGAGGCTATAGAACTAAAAGCCAGAATAGGAGGTTGTGTGTGGAGGTGAGGAGGCCGGTAAGACAGAGACTGCCGGAAACACCACGTGAACAGTGGGAGGCTAGGCTGGAGACCCCCAGAGGCTCTTCCATTAGCCAGGACCAGCTCTAATCCCCTGCCCACTGCACTTACTCCAATCCTCAGGTCTCGCTCAATGCCTGGTTTTGGTCCACAGTCTTTCACACAAGGGACACAAGCCTCACTGAGGTGAGTACCCTTCTTGTGCCAAGGGAGCCTGAGGTGCCAAGGTAGGGGCTGGAGCTGGGCATCCTTCCCAAGCTCTTCTGTCCCCCTGTCCCAAGCTTACATTCTCATGTCCGCATGTGTTTCCTGCTCTGGGTTAGGGGAGTGGGGTTCATTCTCCAGCTGACTGGGAAAAACACATCCACTTTCTTCAGAATCTTGCCTGCCTGCTCTCCTCCCCCCTCCAATTCTACCCTCTCACCATTGAGGGAAGCAGGTATAAACTCTCACTCATCTTGACCCATCCCCCAGAAAATGGACTACTTCTGTGCCTCCACGGTGATTTTACATTCCATCTATCTGTGCTGTGTGAGGTGAGTGCCCCCCTCTACCACCAGTAAGGCCCACCCAGCTGGTCTGGGAGTGAGTTCAGATGGGTACAGGTAAAATGCTGAAAAAAGCTTCTCGTGATTCTCCACTCACCCTCTTCCCTGAGTTGGTTCATTCGGCAAGCTCTCTGGCATCCCCACCCCATTTTCTGTGCCCTCCCTTCATTTTACATCAAGATTGTCATCATTGAATGGATACAGGGGAAAGGATGGTAGAGCAGGCACTGGGGGAATGGGTGTGAGGCCCCCTTTTTTGGCTTTTTTTCTGTGTCAGAGGCACCAGTGGCACTCAGTCCAGTGGCCTCCAGGAAAATGGATGACTGGATCTGAGTGGCTCTTTGGTGGTGGCGGTGGGGGGTGTCACAGGACTCTGGGGCTACAGCGCCCAGCTGTGGCCAGTGCCTTCGGGGGGTTCCTGCTGCTGCTGCTAGCTGCCCACATCTCCTACCTGAGCCTCGTGCACTTCGACTACGGCTACAACATGGTGGCCAACGTCGCTATGGGTGAGGCTGGGCTGAGGGTGAAGTGGGAAACCATGTGGAAGGAAGTGGGCTGTTGGGATAAGAGAGGTAGTAGTGGCATAGGAAGAGTCTAGAGAAACGGAGCAAGACCCTAGTTTGAATTATGTTCTTCCACCCCATAGAAATAACCAGTCGGGCCTCAGTGGCAGTGGCAGAGACCCATTGAAGTGGGGCGAGGAGAGGGTTGTACTCCTGGGGATGTGATTGATAAGGTGGATTTAAAAAGAAGACAAAGAGTAGGCCTGGTGGAAGTTGTGGGGGGTGTTCTGAGCAGCAGTGTGTGTGTGTGTGTGTTGTGGGGGGGATAATGATCATGGGACAGGAGAGGAGAGGAATGGGGTATAGAACAAAGGGGATCCGCAAAGAGGTTTGGCTAGAAAAGGAAGTCACCCAGGAAAATCAGGGGAGCTGGGATTGGAGGCCCTGGGGCCAGAGTCCCAGAAGAAGTCCAGGAAGGGCGAAGGGCTGCTAGACACCCTCACCGTTCCCCTGTGGTCCTCCTTCCCCCAGGCTTGGTAAATCTGGTGTGGTGGCTGGGCTGGTGTCTTTGGAACCAGCCTCGGCTGCCTCACGTGTGGAAGTGCGCTGTGGTGATGCTTCTGCTGCAGGGGCTGGCTTTCCTCGAGCTGCTGGACTTCCCCCCCATCTTCTGGGTCTTGGATGCGCATGCCATCTGGCATATCAGCACCATTCCCATTCACTTCCTCTTCTTCAGGTTGGTATTCACCATGCCTATCTCCCCCCTCTCCCAAACTCATGCCCCATACTTACCCCCCATACTTACCCCCCACAGGAGATATGCCCATCTGCTTTTGTTAGGCTCCTATGCTTAGCCACTCAGCCCCGTGGGTGCCCCCTTAGCCCACTTCCCATTTGTATCTCTCATGTACCGACTGACTCCGCCTCCCAGAGAAGACACTGACCACCATTTATACTCAGCTGGACTTGCCCTTTCAGCCACTCTCCTCACCTTGCCCAAGTTGGAGGATGGAAGAGGTCTTTCAGTTCCATCCTTAGAGGTTCATGATGTCAGCCACTCCCCACCTCCCACTTTCTAGAGGACCCCGTCTTTTCTTCCTGGGCTAATAAGGAGGACCTCAGTCCTCTTTTTTCTACCCCAGGCAGAAGGGTAGGTGGGGTTGGGGGCCCAGGTACCACTGCCTTTCCTTCTTTCATTTCCACAGTTTCCTGATGGACGACAGTCTCTACCTTCTCAAGGACATCCCAGTCCCACTAAAGATGGATTGAAGGGGTGGAGGACAGTTCTACTTTGCCCAGCCTCAGCCCTGGACATTGGAAGCTACAACCCATGGGGTAGTGTGATTTTTTTCCCCTTTACTCCTTAAACTTGGACTCTGGTCAGGGGTGGAGAAGTGACTCCAGGACTCTGCCCCTTCCTCCACTCCGTTGCCCTCTAGCTGCCTTCAAAGTGCTGTTGGACTTGAGCTGTTTCTCGTTCCCTCGCCCCACCTCCGTTCTTCAGACATTGAGTGGGGTTAGTGGCTGAGCCTGACGAGCGGATGGAACACTCCCCCAGTGACCTACAGAAATTGGAAGACGGTGAATGTGCACCTAGCCAGGTGCTCAAGGGGAGCTTCCTTCTACCCCTCAAAATGCCTGCTCCACCTCCGTTCTCAGTGGGCTTCCCCACATCCACTTCCTCTGCTCTGATGGGAAATGAGGAGGGGGCTTTCCCTCTTTTTTTTTTTTCCAACAGATGCCCTCCCCCATGGCCCCACTAGGTGGCGATGGATGCTAGCTATCTGGCATACCCAGGCTGGGGCTCCTGGTCTCACCCCCCCAGGAGAGGCACAGAGGACCCAGAGAGTGCGCCTAGAAGAAGCAGGCCTTTGCTTTGTCCACACACTCAGGAGGAGTCACCACTGTCCCCTTGCGGGGCCCCAGGCCCATCTCCATCCCCCAGCCAGGCAAAGAGCCAGAGAAACCCAGCCACTATTTGGCTCATTGTCAGACTGGCGCATTCTCTTGCTTCTCAGGGAAAAACGGGGTGTGAGTGTGTGCCTGAGTATAGATGTGAGTGTGGGCACGTTCATGGGGATTCAGTCAAACTCAGCAAAACACGTCTTGGGCTTTCTAGCCAGGCACCCTGCGAGGCAAAGAAAGCCCAGTAGTTGGGGATGGAAGTGTATGAAGGTTTTTGAATGGAGGGGTGCGTTTGTATATCCTCTCCGCAACCCTCCTCTCTGTTGTTACCCTGTATTTCCACCCAAAGCTCAGCACCTTGCTTCCCCTCTCCATCCCTTAGTTTGTGCGGGGATGACCCTAGTCCCATCAGGGAGCCAGACTCTTGAGCTAAGAAAGTAGCTCTCCTTGAGGACCTGCCTGTTGCCTCGCTTGGGTGCCACCTGATCCACAGCCTCCTGGCTAGCACCCGCGCTAGACACCATCATCTCTCAGCCTCCCAAGTCACTTAGGCCTCATTTCTTCCTCTGCAAAATGGGGGGAATGTGTCCCTCTAGTACCCACCTCACAGGGCTGTTGTGAGGCTTCAACAAGATCACGTATGTAAAATGCTTTGCAAACCTGAAGCTGTTCTGTGTATTATCTTTGTATTTTAGGGGAGAAGAGGGGCATCAAGGAGAGGGAGGCAAGACGATTGTTCAGGGAGGGGAGTCTCCCTGCTCTCCCCCAAGGTCGGGCCTAGGGGCTGTGCCAGCACAGCTGGGCTTGAGTGAAGGGGACCCCTGCCAGTTGCTGGCAGCCTTGGCACATTCCTGCTGTACAGTGGCGCAGAGTGGCACTTTGTAGGTTCCAGAGACTACATCCCAGAGGAAGGCCTAGTGATTGGGAGGAGTTGGAGCTCTTTCTCCTACCTCTCCCACCTCCAGTTTGAGGACTAGGAGGGGGGGTCCTGTGTTTGGTGCCTGTGACAATGAAAATGTATGCGGGGAAGGGGGAGGAGTGCCTCTAATAGACCAATTCAGAGCCTTGCTTTCCCAGGCCAGTACTAAATGTGCGAGAAGAGGGAGGGAAAGGAGAGAAAGGAACTGAGAACCAGGGGAAACACATAGAACCATGGACCTAAGGGGAACTAGAAGCAAAGGGAGATACCTAGAACCAAGTGAAGGTTCGCTGATTCTGTTGAGTATTTGGCCAGGGTAGGGGAAAGGGGAGGGTGCCCTGTGTTCCTCATTTTCATCTTCCCCATCCCCCAAGGTTCCTCTTCAATCCCCTGATTTTCCCTAACCTGTCTCCTCCAGCCTCCTTTTCCTTTCCTTCCTCACCTCCCTCCTCAGACCCCTTCAACTTAGAAATAGTCAGTAAGGAGGCTGACCCAATGTTATGCAGACAGCATGAAAAAAGAAAACTTTATTGAACAAAGGTACTGGATTTTTGTGCCCTTCCTCCCTCCTTCCTCTGGCCTAGCAAAAAGAGAGGCTTCCAGACATGTGCATTTTCTGTGAGAATCACAGCAACTACGACACCTAAGAAATGGGGATTATATTTTTTATTGTGCCAGCTCAGGCATCAGTACAGATTCTGAAATGAATGGGCACCAGATATGGGATATCTCAGGCCCTTCATGCCACTCTCTTCTGTGCCCAAACAAAGAAGATGCCTTTGACATCATCCACACCAGTCTGCAGGTATGCAGGCATGGTATATGTTCGGAAATCTCGAACCTGGTACCCACTTTGACTCAAAGCTTCTCTCACCTCCCCCTCCTGAATGGGTACCACAGATAGCTTTGCCTCCCCTGCCAGGTACCAGGACTCCTCCAGGGCTCCTATGAGCAGGAGGTGCCCACTGGGTCTTAGCAGGGTTGTGATGTGGTCCAGAGCCATCTGGAAGCTGGAATGGTCAGGGCTCACTGCCTCCAAGCAGAAGGCTGAGACCAGGGCATCAGTGGGCAAAGGAGCTGGGCTCCCAGGACCCAGCGGCTGTGGCTGGTGCACATCAATGGGCAGGATCCTCTTCACTTTGGAACGAAGCTGACGTTCTTTCTCCTGCCAAGACTCGCTGTGCAGGGAGACAGGGGTGGAATGAGGACCCAGAGTAGTAGGATACAACCCTTCCAAACTCCTCAGTGCCTTAGTCTCCCAGTAAGTTCCATGGATGTCCAAATTCCAGCTCTGCTTATTACCAACAAGCTTCTTCTCTTCAGCCCTGTCCTGATCTGATACTTAGTGCCTTCCTGTATGATGGGCTTTACTGTTCATACCCAGCTTTCTTGGGTTCCACCTCATGTCCATTTCCCCATATAAGATGCCTAGCTTTTCACCATGCCAGTTGTACCCAGTTACTGACTTCTTTCTAGTTCTCCATACCTGGTGACTACCCATGGTTAATTTCTCATGTTCTACCTACTCTACCCATGTAACTACAACAAATAGATCCACCAACATCTCGTTACATCTGTTCTCTGCTTTACTTTACTCCCTCCCTTCACCTCACATCTGTCTCCTCCTTCTCCCCTCCCATCTTAGGCTCCTCACTCATGTCTACCCCACCTATGGCATCTCACTCACCCTTTGCCCTCAATGAGACAGACATGTTGACTGTAGAGGCTCCAGTCAAAGGCACCAGGGTCCTGTCGCAGCCAGACCCCCAGCTCCTGGCGATTCACCTCCAAGAAGTCAGTCATAGTGATGTCCTCAAAGTGGGCGCAAGCACTGAGCACCTGGTACACGGTGGGGCCAGAGCCAATATCAATGAGGCTATGGCCAGTCACCTCACCTATGGGACCAACAGTCAACTTTTTAGTCATGGTATCCCCCTCCTTGGCGTCTGCTTCATTCTTCACCTGTGCAGACCTTCTCTCTATGTCTGTCCCTATCTTCTCTACTCTCTGTCTCTCGATTTTTGTTCTCTCCCTACCTCATATATTTGTCTCTGTCTCTGTGTATCTGTTTCTGTCTCTCTCACCCTATCCTCTTTTTTTCTGTCCCTATCCCCCTATCCTGTCTCTTTTTTTTCATCTCTATTAGTCTGTGCCCATCTGAGTTACGACCTCATCTTTCTCCAAATTCTGAATGCTATGGTTTGCGGCTCCCTTTCCCTTCCCACGCCATGCCTCAGTTTCCCCCGGCCCTTGCCGCTCACCCGTGGCAAATGTTTCCGCTAGACAACGCAGTTTCCAGGGTCCCACGCCGTCTGGTTGGCTCAAGTCCCCTCGAGGGGGTCCATAATTGTTTCGGAGATAGGAGCGAGGCTCGAAGCGCTGGTAACTGGCCGCCACCGCCTCCCTACTTGGGTCCGAAGACGCTCCGGTCACCGCGTCCTTACTCACGCTGCTCATCTTGCAACCTGCTGCCTGAACTCTCGCCCGGGTCAGGGCTATATATCTCCTGCTGGATGTCCCCAACCCGGCCCCATCCATCTCTCCCCCCTACCTAACCTGGCCCAGCGCAAGAACTGCGGAACAATCCCCCCCACCCTCCCCCCCGCCCCACCTCACCGCCCCCCACCAAACTGGACTGGAAAGATGGGAAGATGGGCTGCCCCAGGCGACAGTCCCTGTGCTTGTGATCCCATCCATCTCGCTTAGTGTCAGCAGCCGCCGGAGCACAGCGTCCAGGTTGGGGGGCGCGGGTGGGGAGAGGAGGCGGGAGGGAGAAGCAGGGACTACGCAAGCCCGAGGCTTAAACACCGGCTCCAGGTCCCAACCACTCTTCGGCTGCATCTTCATGTCCAGCTCCACTGCTCCGTCCCATCCAGAGCCCACCTCCTCGGTACTTACTCTCCAGTTCTTTCCAATTCAATTCAATCAACATTTAGTAAACTCTTACTGTATGCGGAGCGCGGTACTAGGCACTTGGAATACAAAGACTAAAAAATCCATCGGTCTCTGCCCTGAAGGAGTTTACATTCTCCAGCCCCCCACCCCAATTCTCTTACAGGTTACTCTCTGTTCCCCAGTGCTGAAGCCTAACCCTGTCTCTGGTGCTGTGGAAAGAGCACGGCCTTTTTTTTTTTTTTTTAAAAACGCAATTGGGGTTAAGTGACTTGCCCGGAGTCACATAGCTAGTGAGTGTTATGTGTCTGAGTCCGGATTTGAACTCAAGTCCTCCTAACTCCAGGGCCGGTACTCTATCCAATGTACCACCTAGCTTCCCCAAGAGTACTGTTTTTTAAGTAATAATTGCACTTTAAGGAGTCCAAGACCCTTCAGACATACCCTTCACTTCATCCTCAATACAATCCCATGCTTTAGACATTTTTACTATCTCCAAATTTCTGTTGTTGTTTAGTCTTTTTCACTTATGTCTGACTCTTTGTAACCCCATTTAGTGTTTTCTTGGCAAAGATACTGGAGTGATTTGCCATTTCCTTCTCCAGCTCATTTTACCTATGAAGAAACTGAGGCAAATAGGGTTGTGACTTGCCCAGGGTCACACAGCTAGTAAGAGTCTGAAACCAAATTTGAACTCAGGAAGATGAATCTTCCTGACTCCAGGCCTGGCACTCTATCCACTGTGATATGTAGCTGCCCAATTCCCTGTACAGATGAAGAAACTGAGGCTCAGAGAGTTAGTGACTTGCTGGGACGCACAGCTAGTAAGTGTCTGAAGTCTTGACCCCACATCCAGTTCCCTATCTGTTAGCTTTCCTCATCTGTAAAATGCTGGAGTGGGATGGTGGGGGTGGTTGTGGTCAAAGTCCTCAGAACCTGTCAATAAGTTTCTAAGACTTCTTCCCATTCATGCTACTCCTTCTTCAGTTCCTCCTGTTCCTCTTCCCTCAGAATCTCACTGCTAAGCCTGTTTCCCCTCTGCCCAAGTTTCTTACCTCCAATTGCATTTTCCCCCACCTCCCTTTTAATTTCTTCTGCCTTCAAGTGTCCCTGGGCTGCTCCCTTCCCCCCTCCTCCCTCTAATTTCTCCCACCACCCCTCCCACCCAGTCCCACAGGACAGTCCGTTCCTTAATGCCTCCGGTATCCTCGCCTCTGTTGCCCTGGGCCCCAAAGCTGGCCAAGTGGTGTCTACCTTATCCGACTCAGCCTCCCACCTACCCCTCGATGGATATTATGATAGGGGAGTGAGCAGGGCAGCCAGGGCCTGCAAAGTGGAGAATTGAGTTAATGCAGTTAGCAGGCCTCCAGGCCCCTCTGCTCAGATCCACTTATCTAGTCCTGAACATGGGTTGGAAAGGGCACAGGGGTGGAACTGAGGGCAGAAGGTTCTGTTCCAGACTGGGGGACAGGAGGGTGGGACCCTGGCAACTCCAATTCATCAGCAGCCGATTGGGGAGATGGAGGACTCGAGGGTTCTATTGACACAAGTGGTAAGAGAAGAAAAAGGCTGCTGTCCTGGGATTCTCCCATTCTCTAGAGGAAGGAGGAATAGAGGTAGTAACTACGATGAAGAGAGAGACTCTGGAGGAAATGAGAGTATCTTTTGAGAGGGAAGAAAATGGGGAATAGGGCTGCTGCCTTATCGCTGTTTGTGAACGAACTCTTCTGTTCTTGAGGATTTTCTTTCTTAAAGCTAGTAGGAGCCTGGGTGCTTAGATCCTTTCTCTGAGGCTTCTGGTATCGTTTTTTCTGGATTCCTCCTCCTGTAGGGAGAAGGGCTACCCAATGTCTTCCACTAATCACAACTCAATTTCCCTTATACCCAGGAGAGAGGGAAGGCATATTTTGGCCAGGCAGGATCATAGAATTTAGAAGGGACCTTAGAGACAGATGTAGTCTAAACCCTCTCAGTTTTACAAATGAGATAACCGAGGTTGAGAGAAGGAAAATACCTTGCCCAAGGTCACACAGGTAGTAAATAGCAGAGCTGGGAGATGAACCCAGATTTTCCAACTTTGAATCCAGTATTCTTTCCCTTTTACTCACTCCTAAACACTCAGATTGGCCTTTCCTGCCCTGCCTTGTGCCCAGAGTCCCCCATTAGCCTTAGATTCTTTCCCAAGGGCCTAGACTTTCTGTCTCCCTCCTACCACCGTGCCACCAGCATTGTGTAGGGGCTAGAACAGTGATTGCTTGGGGGTAGGAGGAAGATTTGCTGGGGGGGGGGGTAGTAGTGAGAACATTATCTTCCTGCCTGCCCTCCATAGTTGGGACATGAGTCACCATAACATCTGAGCACTCTGCACCCCCTGTGCCCTCAAGTTCCCTGCATTTGTGGGAACAAGACATAACTTGGTTTCCAGAGGAGGCCGAAATATCTAATTCCATCTTCCTGAGGCTTTCTTTAAGAACAAGAACTGGGAATTGGAGGGAGGAATTAATGTCATTGACCTCTGCCTCCCCTCCCTGTCTCTACCTAGCTTGACCATGGACAGTCCTAACATTAGTTCTTAGGGATCAATCTTTCCATCCATTTTTCCAGGCTCTTGGAACTCTCTGCCTGCTTCTAGTGTTGGGGGAGAACGGGGGGGGGGGGGAGCGGGGGGGAAGCAGGCAGCTGCCCCTATTTACAGCTTTGTCCTTGTACCCTAGCCTGAGCATTGCCCAGAAGCCACACTATATTTAACCTAGGACCTTGGCAGGAGCTGGAGGGCCATTTGCAGATCTGGACATCAAAAGAGTGTGGGCATTAGGGGGCTGGGCAGATGTAACCCCATGCCCCAGGGGCCAGAGGGAAAGGCACACAAATGCAGAGCTAGCTTTCACTTTTATTGTAGCACTAACAGATGATGCTTGGGTGGGACCCCGACTCTACTCCCCCATCCCTGTCTCCTCCCACTGGGGCTCCCGCGCCAGTCTCACATCCCCCTTCCATCTGGTCTCTTTCAGGGGGCTTTCTAATCCCCCATTCACATCTCTCCTTTTTTCTCTAGATCCTGGTGTACAGCCACCTAGTCTCTCATCTAACTCTTCTCTGCAGTTTTCAGATGATGTTGATATAACCCTAGCTCCCCATCTTTTTACTATCGTCTCCTCCCTCTGGGAGCTCAGAAGACCCACATGTTCTGCTTTTCAGCTCCCACTTCCCCAACCCAGCTTTAATGACCAACTACAAAGCTTTAATGACCAATCCTGCCCTCCCCCCAGGTCTTAGCTTAGGTGGGCACAGGAGTCAGGGGAGAAGGGATTTCACCCCCAGAGTCCCCTTCAGCCTCTCTGTGCTTCCTGGGACAGGGATCGGGATAGAGAGCGGCGGGGAGCACCCGGTTTGCCAAACTGGGGGTGGCTGGCAGCCACCACAGGAGGCAGCTCCTTTTTGATCTCAACCACCTCTCGCCGGTCCAGGCACTGCCCCCCCAGAGCCGTTTCCAGAGCCAGGAGCTCCCGAAGCTGGATGGGGGTGGCCTCACGGTCTTCCTTGATGCCCACCTTCGAGAGTGTGAAGATGGGCAGAGGCAGTGTCCTCGCATACGGCAGCTGGTACTCCTGCAGCCTCTGGCCAAGGATACCCATCCTCATCACCTGCAAGGGTGACCGCTGCACCAGCGCCTGGCACTGCCCCTGCCGGTGGTATGTCTCTCGGTGTTGGGTATCTTCTTCATGCACAGAACAACTAGGAAAAGAGCATTGTATTGGGAAAGGAGAACCCTGGGGGAGAGCCCCTTCCCACATCCCTCGTTCCCAAGGGTGAGCGGTGCCTCTTCCTGCTTAGGGGCATTGCTGCCTCAACAGCATTGGCACTTATTCTCCACCTGGCCCAGGGAGAGGAGGTTCCCTTAGTTCAGTCTTCGGGTGGGCATGAAGGGATACTTACCCCTCCTCTGGCCGGGAAGACAGTGTCAGATCCTTCCATTCAGCCCAGAAAGTTTCTCTGCGATCTACATTCTCTTCTGATACCTCGCAGCTCAACTCCAATGCAGCCATGGTCACTCTGGGTCAGCTCTCTCTCTCAATCTGGTCTTCTCTCTGATGCTTTATATAACCCCTGCCTCCCCCCCACCCCCAATCTATTTTCAGGTCCATTGCGAAGGAACTATATCTGGAGCCCAGACCCAGGGAAGGAAGGGGGGGGCACAGTGGGTAGAGTGCATTTTATTTGAGGGGGGCAAAGAAGGGACAGAGATTATCTACTTTCAACTCCTGGGGGTGGAGGAGGGGTGGGACAGGGTTAAACACTGCTCCCTCTGACTGACTTCCCTAGGACTCCCCAGAGCTAGAGGACGGGACAGAAATCATAGACGTGGCTTGGTATCGATTGCCCAGTCTCCTTTTGGGGAGTGAGGCAGGAGACAGACACTTCTGGAACTCTCAGCACTCCCGATGCACCTTCAGAGGCCAGCCCTATGTGTGCGTCACTGGGGTCCCTGCCCAGAACTGCTGGGAACAATAATCTTGCCCTCCCTACTCCAGCTCTCCCTCTCTGCAGAGAGAAGTTTGGGGACCTGTTTATAAACAGATCAGCACGTGTCAGGCTCCAGTGTCCAGTCTCACCTCCAGGGGTTGGCAGGCTTTAAGCCCCCCAAATCATCCTTTGTCCTTTCTCCTGGGCATGCTGGTTCCCCTGGCCCTGACATATTCTCTGCCCTCTGGGTTATCTAAAGGGGTAAACAGCTCTGTGTTCACAAACCACCGGGGCCATAAGAAAAAGGGCACACTCCACTGTTGCCCAACAGTTCCCTCTACAGAATAGTAACCAGTTTAGTTCAGTGTTCATATGCCCATCCCCTTCCTTAGAGAGGTGGGGGAGGGTGGTGGTGGTGGTGGTGTTAATCCCCTTTCTGGTCTCCTGGGCACTGATGACCTTTGTCTGCTGTTTGTCTTTCCTAAGGCCAAGCTGGGCCAAAGCAGCTGTTCCCCCAGGCGGTGCCAGCACTGGAGAGTGGCAGTCTCTGGAAAAGGCAGCTCCACTCACTTGAGCATGAGGAGGTGGGGTAGCCTGGCCTTGGATGAAGGGTCAGGTCTAGGTTCTCATCCTATCTCTACTGAGTTCTTACTAGAACCTAGGTCCCTCTTAGGATCTCACTTTTCTCCTCTGTAAAAATAAGAGGGTTGGACCTCTTTTAGGTCCCCTCTAACCTTGAATTCTGCTCCTTACAGCAGGTGTTAATTAATTGTTGTTCCATTTCAGTTGTGTCCAACCATCTGTGACTCCATTTGGAGTTTTCTTGGCAAAGATACTGGAGTGGTTTGCCATTTCCTTCATTTTACAGATGAAGAAACTGAAGCAAACAGGGTTAAGTGACTTTCCTAGGGTCACACTGCTAGTGTCCAAGCCCAGCTTTGAACATACAAAAAGATGAGTCTTCCAAGATGAGTCTTCCTGACTGCACCACCTAGCTGTCTGTGCTAATGAATGCCTTGAGCAGTTCAAAGCACAAGGACCAACTTGGGTGGTGGTGGGTATCCATAGCAAGGCTTTATGGGTGGAAAGGAGCACAGATCATAGCTTTAGAGCAGGAAGGGGTCTTAAAGGTCATGAAGTCCAATCCCCTCATTTACAAAGAGAGTAGAGCTGGAAAAATGGCCATGGCTCCCCATTCCCTCTAGGATCAACTGCAGAGAGCTTGGTTTGCTGTCTGTTACACCCTTCCATAAACTTTATGGTCTGGCCAGACTGGCCTTTGTTTCTCGAACACTCAATGATCTCTTATCTCAGGCCTGTTATGCATTCTCTCCTCTCTTGCTGTCTCCCTCCAGCCCCCAGTCTCACTGCTAGTGGTAGTGGCCTGCCTGGTCACAGGTCCTACCCTCCCCAACTTTAGTGGCTAGAGAAAAGCGGGAGTAAATCTAGACCCACAACCAGACCTCCCCCTACACCCACCCATGCTCAAATTGGGTAGCTCATGCAAGTACATGGGGTAGAGCAAGTGCAGACATTCTTCCTGGACCCTGAGCCCGGAGACTGAGGGGATCCCGGGGACGAGAGTGAGCAGTGGCTGAAGCTCCACCTCCCTGCCCAGATCCCCTTCCTTGGCTTCCTGGCCCCACCCAGCTGACTGCTCCTTCCCTGAAGGTCACCACAACAAAAGGCCAGAGTCAGGCTTGTTCCAATCAGGTTTTTAATGAGCTGGGGCAAAGGCCCCCAAGGAAGCACTAGTTCGGGGGAGGGAAAGGGAGGCAGGTGTAGCACCCAGGCAGGCAAGGTCATATCCCCTCCCTCCACCAGTTTTTGTGGAAAAAAAGAGTCCCAGACTCTTTAAATAATCACTATAAAAAAACTGATGGGAAATCTGGGGGACCAATGATTCCCTTTCCCACCCACTGGCTACTGGGAGTGCCTGGTCCTGTAACACAGGCCTGGGTACACTGGGGACACCTCTGCCTGTCACCCCAAGCCCAGACACATTACACCCTGACACTGCTAAGGAGTCACGTGGTGGTTGCTCTCCCCTCAATTATGTCCTGCCCCCCTGTGGCAGGACATGTAAATACCAGCAAGACAGACACACCCCTAACCAGCAGAGTGAGCCTGAGTCTATCCACCCCCTGCCCCATAACACTTTTGAGAGCTTGTCTTTGAGGGATGGGGGCTCCCAAGGAACAGTCTGGCTCTGGGAGGCGGGGGAAGGGAGGAGCCCTAAAGCCCCCAAGTCCCTTGCCCAGGGCAGGCTAGTAGTCCAGGCTGAAGAGGAGGATGTCTCTAGGAGTGATGGATGGCCCTGTTGCCCTGTTGATGGTGATGACTGGAGGCTGCTATACTTGAGCACATAACTCCCCGACCCGCTGCCGGAGGTGGAAGGCAAATTCAAACATGGTGGCAGCCAGGCTCTGGTGAATGAGGTACCGGGGCAGTCGGCCCTAATTTGGGGGGAAGAGAGTCACCAGACCGGAAGGAGTTAAATGTCTTTCTTGTCCCCCTCCTCCCTCCAGGTTTAGAGAGGGAAAGAGAAGGGGGCCTTGTAAGTCCTCCACTAGAGGATGCTGAGCTCAGGCTCAGACAGCACAGGCTGGGGTACCTGGTCACCAGCAGGGGGCCCCTTCTGGCCAGACAACAGGGGGAGGGGTTAGGTAGCTTAGGAAGGGGCTTCTCTCTGAGAACATGGTGTTCGTGCAGCCCTGGCTGAAGCCCCACAAACAGCCCCAAAGGTGGGAGGGGGGTGGGATGAAGGAGGAGGAGCACCCCCAGTCTCAGTGGGGTGGGGAAATGGTGCGGAGGGCGGCATACTGTACTTCTGTGGGACACAGGGTCTGGACAACATTCACATAGTCTTACTTCTAAGGTACCTTGAGATCTGTGTTGAGGACCCAGACAAAGGTACAGACTCGAGGGTTGTTAGGTGACTTGAGAACAATGAAGCCACCAGGTCCATTCTCACCCCTGGGGAGCAAGGAGGTAAGAGAGTATAAGGCACAGTCTGGGCACACTGAACAACCCACCCCCTCCTCGCCTCACTCCTGAACCTGAGCTGGGGATGAGGGAAGAGGCTGCTGGGGAGCACCTGAAGATCCCTGCTCCAGGGGTGAACCCAGGAGGCGCTTGGCAGGGGGTGAAGGTGGGAGTCCCCACTCTTGATTCCTTCACAGAAAGCTCAAGCCTAGCTCATCCATGTCTCTGTTCCCGGGTGACTCAATCCCAGGCCGAAAGGGACAGTCATTCTTGGCGACCCTCCTCTGAGGTCGGGGGTCTCCTCCCATCAGCCTGGCTTTCTGAAGAACCTCAGCAGCAAGACTGCCATAAGGGTTTTGTAAGGACAAAGCCCAAGGAAAAACCTTCTTGTCCTCCCCAAGGCAGAGACCCTGGAAGGAGCAGATAGACTCCAAACATGAGCTGTTTGCTCTCTCACTGCAGGGACTGAGGTAAGACGGTAATAACTAGGGCTTAATGTGCAGGAGGGGCATCTAAGGAAAACTGGGAGGACAGCCCGTGGAAGATTATGCCCTCCTCTCCTCTCCTCTGGTGGGGTTCTGAGCCTCTTCATAAAGAGGGACAGAGATGCCCAAGACTATAAAGTAGCCCAGCTGAGAAGAGCCTCCTGTCTCTTAGGCCTTCCCCCAGACAGATGCCCTTCTTCCTTCAGCCCACCCTGGGTGCCTCATGGCAGTGTCCGTTCTCCCTCTCCTGCCCTCCCCAGGGGGCTGCCAGCTCTAGACTCCACAGTCGGGATTCTTGACTTCCCCCACCCACCCCCCTTGCTGCTGGGCTCCAGTAACTACCCACAGTGACCAGTGGAGAGCGCCCAGGGGCATTAAGTGGGTTAGTGGTTTATCAAGTGACGTCCAGAGGATTAGGGAACATAAACATAGGGGTAGAGATTGGGGGGCATTTAAAAGACATTAACAGCATACAAGTTGCCCTGAAGTTCCTGCTGAGACACACCTGTGGACAGAGCCATTCTGTTCAGAGAAGGGACTGGCTGAAAGGACCCTAAGGGCCTCACCTGACATATTTGTGCAATGGGGGCTTGGCAAAGTGGGTGGTAGCGATGCCTGAGGAGAGGTATCTGTCCCTCCGCCTCTCAATTCGCCGGACATTCACAAAGTCCCTGGGAAAATAAAGGAAGTAAGGGATAAATATAAGATTAGGAGGTCACATTCCTGGCTGGACCCAAGCAAGCAAGGAAGATGGAAGGGGAGCAGTCAGAATTGGGGATGGGGTGGTGATGGGACAGAAGGGAGGGAGAGAAAGGAGACAGGGGAGGGAGGAAGGGGAAGGGAGAAAATATGAGAATTAGGAAAGTGGCTTGATTGAAGGATAGAACTGGACTAGTCCCCTCCAACTCAGGTTTTATGATTCTGTCCAATAAGAAGGTATTCGGAAGAGAAAGGCCTTTACCTGGGGGAAACCACACCTCCTGCAGCCCCTGAAGATACATCATAGGTGATGAGAGTGTTGTCTTCTACTCGATGAAGGATCTGAGGTTCAGGAGACAATCAATTTGACCCTCTACCAGCCACGATTTCTGGGCTCAGCATTTCAGTGCTGAGAGGAGGCTGTGGAGGGAGGGACGGGGGGTCCCGGTGCCTCTGGCTCCATCTTGGATCAGAATCAAGGCCCCTTCCTTCCATTCCTACCCCAGGACTTCAATGTGCCTTCCACTAATCAGGGAAACAGGTGAGCAGCCTCCGGCTGGGGTGAAGTTGGGGGGGGGGAGACTTGGGGGTCTGGGTGAGACGGGCTCCTTGGCAGACTTACCTGGCAAGCGTTCACGGTCTTGTTCCACAGGACCATCTTCTCAGGCTGCAGGATGACCTCCTGGTACACCAGCTCTGCTGGACACTGCAGGAATGCCTGACAGGGGAGGCAAAGGTGAGCACGCAGCTTGTTAATGTCCCTCTCAGCCCCTGGGGATGAGAAGGGGGTAGCCAGGCTTCAGCTGCCCCCTGGCCTATCTCTTGATCCCTCCCATGTGTGAATCTCAAAGGCCCCCTTACTTCCTCTATACTTTCTTCTTGAGAGGATTTCAAAACTGGAAAGGACTTGGGAAGTCACTGAGCCCAGTCCATAGCTAAGTGGAAATCCCTGTTACCATTCCCACCCTCCCAACCTCTAAGTGGTTACCCAGTGTCTGCCTGAAAACCTCTAGGGGATGGGAAGCTCACTACCTCCTAAAACAGCCACTTCTGGACAACTCTTATTGTGAGGTTTTCCCTTAAGTAGACTGAAATCTATCTCTGTACCATCCACCCACTGATCCTTGCTATGCTTTCTGGGGCCAAGCAGCACAAAGCTAGGCCCCCTTCCACATGACAGCCCCTCAAATATTTGAGTACAGCTAAGGACCCTCTGTGGGGATCCTTGATCAGACGGTCTCTGGGCCGCTGGTTGGTCTGGCAGGTGTGTATTTGGGAGTGGGGCTGCAACTGGGATCCCCTCCATGACTCCTGCCACCTCTCACCTTGAGGATGAATGTCTTGCCATGGAAAGGAATTTCAATGGTGTATACTGTGTCCCCATACTCCTGGCGTAGAGAGAGGGGAAAGGAAGTTGGAGAGAGGAGGCAGCAAGGAGGGGCAGGGTAGCTGAGGATGACTGTCATGGGGCTGAAAGATGGAGGGGAGTAAGGAAGGGAAAGCAGAGGGGGTCTGGGATGATGGCAAGGCTGGCTGGGTAAGGAAATGACAGGGAGAGAGCATCCCTGGCCCAGTGACAAGACCAGCTGGGACCCTCCACAAGAGTCAGCAGAGGATTGCTCTGCCTCTTCCTATGACATCAGAGAGGAAAGGGAGGGAAGGCTGGAATCCAGTCTGGGGATTACAGAGAGCATCGGGTCCTCCAATACCCAGATGGGAGGCATGGATCTGATTTTCTGGGACAAGAATTCAGCCTTAACCTAGCAATCCTTCCATGGCCAGATAGAGTCTTCCAACTCCCCCGTCACTCCCACCTCACAATGCCAGGGCTAGCTTTGAGCTCACATTATTCTTTTCAAACTTCCAATTCTCCTCTTGAGCCAGGATCTGGTCCACCATCTCCATGGCTTCCTTCCCCTGCTGGATATACTCCCGATCCTAGTACGATCCATGTGTGCGTTACTCAAACAGGTGCATACAATGTTCTCCCTCCCTACTCCCTTCCCAGAAGAGGAAGGTGGTAGGCAGAGGAGTAGTGGAGGTGGGGCAGAGAGGAGAAAGGGAAGAAGAAGGCCTGGGATCTACGAAGAAGCATAGTTTCCTCCCTCCCAAGCTTTTCTATCTGCCCTCGGCAGTACTCCTCATTCTCCCTCTTGAGGACAGACAGATCCCACCCACCTTGGTTCTCTTCATTTTTTCCCTACATTTCCCCCATTAGACTTCAATGACTACAGAGCCCAGTGATGATACAGACCATGCAACCTCTTTTGTCTGAATCCCTCCCTACTCCTAGCACTGCTCAGGCCGAGAAGGAACAGCCACTTGACTATTAAAATTCTTTTGACCCAAGACCTCTTGTCTAGAGCCCCTTCCTAATTTGTCCCTTTCAAAGACAAGTGACCCTTTCCTTGAGGTCACTGTTCTGGGGTCCTTGGGAAATGGCAAATACCTGGCTGGAGAAGCCTTTCCTCCCAGCTCCTTCATCATCAGATTCATTGTCAGATTCTAAAGAAGCCAAGTGGAGAGAGGGATCAGTGTAATGGGGAGAAGAGGGCTTCCATATGTGTGTATGGGGTGGGGCACACGAATATTCTCCCTTTGGAACCTCATATGAAAGAGGAACCCTAAAATTGCCTCCCTTCCTTCCCCTGCCCTCCCGTTTCCACATGACTGAAAGCCACCTCCCTTCTCACCCAATCTCCAGGAGGGCTAGAGGAGGGAAGGAGGGAGAAGCTATATGTCTCACCTGCAAACGACTCTGGAGGAGAATAGAACTGGCCTTCAGACAAGACCCCAGGGAAGAGCAGGGGGCCCCGGGCAGCAGCCGCCTGGGCAGCCAGGTACCCTGGGGGACAGATCCAAGATGCTTTGTTCCCCTTCCTGGAGTACCCTTCCCATCCTCCCTTCAGCACAGTGCTAGCATGTCTCCTGGGATTTACAGAGCCGGCCCAGGGCCCACACTTGTCATATCTTTTTTACCTATCTCAGGCTATGTGGGTGACAGCGACAGGCAAATGGGCAAGTGAAAAAGACTCCGGACAGAAGGAAAACCGGGAGTCTGGCAGCCACAGGTGAGTGGCCATCAGTTAAGACACTTGGAAGAAAAATCCCAAGACTTCCCCAGTCATCCCTGGACTTCTCAAGAGAAACAGAAGGATTTCCTCCACTGGCATGGCACTCTTCCCCAAGCTTACTCTCTCTCCTCCCCACGACACCCTCCCCTGGCCCTGCCAATCACTGGATCATAGAATTTGGAGCAAGAAGCAACCTTACAGATGATCTAGTTGAATCTCCTCATTTAAAGATGAGGAAACTGAGGCCTCGAAATGTAAAAGTGACTCGGCCAAGGTGACCCAGGTAAAAAGGGGCAGAGCTAAGCTTCAAGCCTAGGCCTTGTGACTTCAGTGTAGGGCTCTCCCCATTCCATTGCGCTTCCTCCTTGTAGAACTCACATCGCTCCTCCTCTGCCTCCTGAGTCAAGACCTTGAAGTCAAAAAACCAGGTCTCCAGCCAGGCGATGACGAAGGAAACGATGGGCAACACGTAGCCGAAGGCACCTTTGCTGAGCAGCTAGGGAGAGTCGGCTGGGCTCGGTGAGGGGGTGTACCACCCCACCCCCAAAGCTCCACCCCTGGAAAGGTCAAACCTGGCCAGCTGGGAGTGGGTGTGAGGATGGGCCCTTTCCCTGATCTTAACAGCTCAGAAGCTCTGCTTCCTCTCCACAGAGGGAGATGGACTGGCACTACAACAGGAGTGACTGAGGTTGGACCTAAGGGAGAACTTCCCGATTATCCAAGTGGAGGGAGTTCCTGAAATGGGACAGGTTTCCTTCCCTGGAGATCATTGGGACAGGACCCCAACCCCAATTTACCCAGATATGACTATACAAAGAGAAAGGAGGGAGTGAGTCTGGTTGGATTGAAGCACTGGAGAGCATCCTTTGTCAACTTTCCACCACAGCCCCTAATATAGCACCCCTGACAATAAAGGGCATATTTCCAAGCCTCCTCCTCTCCAAGATTCTCATCCCTTTCCCCATAAACCCCATCCAGGATCACTGACCTGAGAGAGGATGACCTTGACAATGAGAAAAGCACTGGACACAAGTGTGGTAATCTGGTCGGAGCAGGGAGAGAAGAAGCCAGGAGTTCAGGCCCCTCTTCTTCCTGTTCCCCCAATCCCACTCTCCCAATGCCGACGTATTCCAAGAAGGGGCCCTCCGATGTGAACTGGGCATGGGGGTTGGCATCTTACCGCGATCACCCACCAGTGTCGAAGCCTCAGCACGGCGTAGCCCATCAGCAGCCCAGAAAACCGAAAGAAGGCTAGAATCTGGGGGAAGGGACCGTGGGTAGAGGAAATTCAAGAAGCATTCGTGGATTAGATGAGCGGGCGACGTGGATCTCAGTCCTGTACTTGGTGTTTCAGGTGATATAGGATCGGACATGGCACCCATCCCCAATCCCTGGGGCTTACACTCAAACTGGAAATGAAGCCGTCCCCTTTCTCACTTCCCAGTTCCTTTACTATCAGCAGGTAAATTTGATTGACTCTGTGCTCCCATGGGACACGTATTTCCTCCAAGCAGCTTTCCCAAATAAATCCTGTCCACTCTGGGAGGGCCCTTAAAGAGCATGCCTTACCCAGCCGTTGCTGTTTACATGCTTGGGGGAGGCTCTGTGCGTCCTCCCTAGGAGACTGGGAGCTTCATAGGGGCAGGGGCTAGGTGTTTCCTCCCATTAGACTAAGTGAAAGGGAACAAAGGGAAGAGAAGAAAAACCCAGGAAATGATCTGAAAGCCGCTGACTGGCTGCCTCCTCCATGCTCGGGTCACTCACAAAAATGTCGAAGAAGGAGGTTTTGAAGTTGTAGTTGATGATCTCTTCCTCTAGATTCTTCTTGATGCCCGTCTTTGTCTGCAGGTGGGGAAGACAGAGAACGAGATGGGGAACCGGACCCCACCCCCACTGCCCTGGGCTACTCATTCCCCATTCCCACCATGCTTTGTCTTCTGATGGAAATGTCAATGGGGAAAAGAGACTCATGGTGGGAGCAGGTTGGTGGCAAATTCTAAATCCTCTCCACGCCCTCTGACATAATATCTAGAGCAGGGGTAGGGAACCCGCGGGCTCGAGGCCACACGTGGCCTTCTAAGTTCTTGGGTGCAGCCTTTTGACCGAGTCAAGTTTTATGAAACAATTTGTTCTTTGAAGTTTGGATTCAGGCATAGGGGCATACCTGAGGACCCAGAAGGCCACGGTTCCCCACCCTTGACCTAGACCCATATACTTCTGAAGCATGAAGCAGGGTCATGGACTAGGTAAGCAGTCCTGGACAACTCCAGGGTCACTCAGCTCCAAGGGAGGGGGAATGGAAGGGGAGTCTGGTGGCAGGCTGGGGACTTTGGCTTCGAAGGCAACCCCGACTAGCAGAAACAAGTTTAAGCAACCTCTGAGTTTGTATGTGTGAGAAATATGCAAGATTGACGTGGAGACAGAAGAGAGATAGGGATGGGGAGATCTGGAAAGCCTCTCCCTGCCCTGCTCCCCCCCCCGCCCCCCACCATGAGGATGTAGGTGGTATGATTCTTAGGCCTGGCTCTCATACAGAAGGACATGGATCAGATCTCAGTGAACACTATTTGCATAACTTAATATCCCTCCACCTTCCCAGCCAACAATCCATCTAGGGAGTCAGAGGGGGCTTGAGGGCAGGGAATGGGGAGAGAAACGGTGTTGGCTAGTGGTGTCAGACAGAGCCCCAGGTGGTAAATCAGTTGATTAGATTTGCATCTAATGGGGAGAGTCCATCACTCTGCCTGGTTGGCCAGGATGAAGAAATAAATGGAAGTGTAGTTCTTCTCCCTTATCTCCAACCACATGTATGTAGTTTAATATATGCAGTTTTCCCCTTTCCACTAGGAAAGGACTTTGGGGAGATACAGCCCTCTCCAATTCTGGCTAGGATAACTAGACTGGAAAGTGAGTGTGAGAGAGGGGGTTTATGGAGGGCAACAAGGAATGACTAGTGCCTGGCCACCCACCTTATTCAGAGCAATTCAAATGAGGCTGCTAGTGCAAGGAAGAAGGCAGCTGCCCCCACCAGCAATGCCCTCTGTGGCAGAACGGACGAAGCAAAAGCTTGGGAGTTACGACGCCTGAGCCCTGTCCCACTTACAAGCTCTATGACCTTGGACAAGTCACTGTACCTCAGTGGGCCTGTTTCCTCTGTAAATATGAGAGCACCGCCTGCCCTGCTCACCTCACAAGGTTGCTGTGAGGTACAAATGAAACCATGTGTGGAGAGCATGGTAGAAAACTGCAAAGTGCTACAAGAACTGAAGTCTATTCTCCTCCCACTTCTCTGAATCTTCTTCCTTCTCAAACTCACAAACTATGACTGCTCCCCAGACTCTGTCCTCAGCCCTCTCTGCATGCTGACCCCTCAGAGAAATCGTTTTATTTTCTGTTTTACTTATTTACCATCTCTGTGCTGATGACAGGTCTGAAATAAAGGGGCCTGGGTTCTAATCCTGGCCCTGCCATTAACTAGCCTGTGACCTCTGAGGAACCAACTTGGCCTCTGGGGGCTTCAGTACCCTCCCCTGTAGCATCAAGGAACTGGACTCTAGGGTCCCCAAAGTCTCTTCCAACTTCCCAACTCCTAAACCTCTGTCTCTAATCTTGAGCTGTCCCCAGACTTGGGAACTATAGGATTCTGCCCTCCTTATGTCATCCTGCTTTCAGGCTCACCTTTGGAAAATCCAGACCATCCACCCTTGCCAGACTAATGTTCCTAAAGCACAGCTCCCAGCAAACTGGCCTCTGTTCAAACACCTCCCCGCTGCCTCCAAGATCTCTCTAAATTACTTCGTCTGGTACTTACAGCTCTTTACAATCCGGTCCCAACCTATCTTTCCAGTTTAATCTAACCTAACTCTAGCCTATTACGCAAATAATCAAAAATGACTCTATTTGTTGTCTGCCAGACATAGCACGTCCATTCCTGACTTCCCATCTTATCACCCTTCTCCCTCTACCTGAAATTCTTGGCCCCTTCTTCTGCTTGGTGAAGACCTGTCCATCTTTCACAGCCCAGCTTCCTCTGTGAAGCCTTTCTCAGCCTACCCCGGCCCACAGGGATCTCTATTGTCTGGGCCACACACTTCACCTCTCCTAGACTGACTACCAGTCAAAGTTATCTTTGTAATTTATGTATGTAAAGTCTGGCTGGAACTCTGGCGTATACCTGTTTGGGTATATGCTGTGTTCCCAGAGCCTAGCACATACAGAGGGCACTTGGTAAATGTCTCTTGAAGGTGGTGCTCACTATGAAAATGAACTGAGTTTAGCCCATTCCTCTGTCTTGGGGAGGATGGAGTTTAACAAAATCTATACTGATGGAGGTTTCCCTGGGGAGATGGATGAGGATTACTGCAAAAAGGGGTGGGAAGAAGAGGAGCACAGAATTGGACTTTTAGAGTCAGGGAACCAAAGAACCATAGAAGAACTGAACTGAAGGGGACCTCAGAGATCTGACACCCTCATTTTACAAGAGAGGAAACCGAGGTAGAAAGAATGATGTGTACAAGAGGGCACAGGCAATTTCTAGACTGCCTGCCTCCTGGTCCAGTACTCTCTACACTACACCACCCTTTTACTTTCTAAGATATTCTGCCTATGATCTTTCATTTTATCATTAAGCCTTCCTTGGCTGGTGGGGGTGGGGTGGTGGTGGGAGGGGTTGGCAGGGTAAGATCTCTCATTGATTAAGATCCAGAGACTCCAAGGTCACAGAGCAAGTTGTCAGCTAGATCAGAATTCAAATCTCGAATCAAAGAACATTAGAGATGGAACACAGGGAGTGAGGGATTGACAGTCTCCGCTTCCATCCCACCCCCCATTTTAAAGAGGGCTAGCTGAAACCTAAAGAGGTATGTCTGTCCCAGGGCCCAGGCACCCCCACGCACATTCAGCTCGATGATCCAGAGCAGAGCAATGAAGAGCAGGTCGAAGGTGACGAAGAGGCAGAAGGTCCGGCGGACATCTGAAATGGCCCTGCGCTTCTCTAGGAGGGGCGGGAAGAAGGGTGGCTGGAAGCTCTGGCTTCTGGGCAGTGAGGTGCTCAAGGAGGCCACAGCTGGAAGACTTTGCTCCAAGTCCCTTGACGAGTTGACTGGCAGCTTGGTCATCCTGGTGGGATTTCCTCCCCCCTCACCGGAGGGGAGGAAGAGCTTTCAGCAATGCATCTGTGAACATAAATGAGGGCGATGCTAGGAAGAGCCAGACTGATCTGCTGGCGTGGGCGGTGACTGGGACCCAAATCTGGGGCCTTGGTACCTGTTGATTCCTCATTAAGTGGCCCCTAGCTCTATTCCCTCTGTGCCCAACAACCCTTCCCCCACAGCAGCTCACCAGACCCCCTCCCTCCACCACAGTCTTCTAGAGACAACAGACACACAGTGCCCTCCCCCCCAATTCACAACAACTGTGTAATTATCAGATCGCAGAGTCCCTAGAATTTTAGAATCTTTTTTTTCTTCGAAAACTCTATTGGCCCACACCCATCCTCACCCCCACTGTTGTCCCTTGGGATCTGAGCTTCTTCTTCTCCATCCCCACCATCCCCAATCCCTTCCTGGGGCACTCCCAGAAGTCCAGTCCAGCCCAACACTGGCCGGGGCCGTTGTGCTCTGCCAACAGCCTGCCCCCCTCCCTTGGAGGAGGGTGTCCAAGCTCTGTTCTTTGTTTGCTGAAGACAAAGCCACATTCCCTTCCCCCACCTCTCCTGGTGACTCTAGGGGTAGGGTGGAGATGGGCATTGGAGGTGGGAGGATACTTCTTGGAGAATTCTTTAATTCTTTATGTGAGTGAAGACCATCACAAGAGCAGGACCAGCTTGTTAACAGGTGGTGGTGAGGGTAGAAGTGGGAGATAACCACTGCCTCCTTCCCCATTACCCACAGTTGTTTCCCTGATTCTCAAAGAGGGAGGAAGGAGATGGAGAGAGCACACGTATCCCCCAAGATCTAGCCTGTGAAACATCAAAGATGTGGGACATGGCTTACCAGGGAGCCCCCAATCCAAGGCACTGATAATATCACCATGATCACCCAACATTTTCTTAGTGCTTCATATTTTCCAAGCACTCTCACATACAGTATTGCATTGTGAGGAGGGCAATGATGGCTCATGTTTATGTAGCACTTTTATATTTGCAAACGGCTTTACTCCTTTGATTATCTCCTTAGAGCCACATGGCAGCTCTGTAAGGTAGGGACCATTATTACCTCCATTTTGTAAGGGAGGAAATTGGGTTGACAGAGGTGAAAGACCTGTCCAAGCGTCACACAGCTGTTAAGTGTCTGGAGGGAGGTAGATTCAAGCCCAGATCCTGATTCCAGATCCAGCATTCCATCTGCTCTGCCCCAATGTCTCTTGGGTACTGCAGGTACTATTATCCCCATTTTGCAGATTTGGAAACTGAGACTCAGACAGATTGAATCATCAGCTCAATATCTAGCTTCTTGCTTGACCCAGAGTGTCTATGACACGGATGGGGAACCTGTGGCCTAGAAGGTCACATGTGGCCTCAAGACCGAAGGTTCCCCACCTCTGGTCTTTGATCTCCTTAGAGATTCCAGAATGCAATGAAGCCTCAGACTTGGACCCCAATACTTCCAGAAAGAAGCCTGATGCTCCTTTCCCTTTGTCTGGTACACGAAGAAGCCACTATCCCCAACTTCAAAGAGAGATGGTTTAGGGGGCTATAGAGGGGGAAACTCAAACAGAGACTGAGGGGTGCTGGGATTCAATTCAAATAATGCTCTGTGGTGAGTGGTCAGTCCAGAAAGATATGCTATAACCTCTTCTCTCCATTTCTCCCTCACTTTTTCTGAAACCATCCCTGTTCCATCTCATTTCCAAAGGGATGGAGTCTGATGAATTACAAGTCAAGAATTACAATGACCACATGGAGGCTCTCCTTGTAGGGGAAGAGGGAAACTCTGGCTTTTTTGCTCCTGATCTCAGGGTGCAAGATCCACACAAACTTATTCTAAAAGCTCATTCATCCTCAGGGCCACTCAAGGTAGGTAAGGTGAAAACGGAGAGATAAGCAACTGGCCTGCTACCTGGGGTTAATAAGGGTCTGCTTCTCCCCTTTCTCTACCACATCCCTGGCTCTCCCTCACCCTCAGTAATCAATCATGTGATATTGGGTCGGGCAGGGGGTGAGAGTGGGGTGGACTTTGGAGAAGTGGGTTTGTCTGTACCCTGGTCTCTGAGGAAGACCACACCTAACTCTGCCCCAGCCAGTAAGAGTGATTCCACTCTTAAAAGATCTCAGATTTTAAAAACCACTGAAGCTCTGCCAAGGTAATCAGGGGAACTGTATGGCATCCCCAAGTCCCTCAGAAAAACCCATAGACTGGAAGGCAACTCCTCCTCCTATTCCCCTTTCCAAACATCTCTCTGCATTAAAGGGAAGCTCAACCTATATACATATGGGGAGCATGGGCAGCTCCCCGCGGGCAGCATTGGAGGCAGTGGGAGGAGGCAAAAAAGAGTCATACTGTCAGGATGTATATGTTCCTGTGGCTTCTAAGAATGGGACCCAGGAGTCCTGTCCCCAAGGGAGAACAAGGGGAACATTTACGCCCCGATCAATAATGCTTCTCTCCACTGACACAGAAAGCATCCCAGGGGGTGATTTCATCCTGAGCTGGGGTTCCATCATCCATGGGGCTGTCCCAATTCCTTACTGGGGGGAGGGGTATGTGTGTATGCAACAGTGAAGATGGAAGACATGGTGACAAGCAACTGACAACAGGCCACCCCAACATCCAACGGCAGCATGCAGCATTAGAACACTGGTAAATGCCCATCCCTCACTTCCCGTGAAAGAGGAAGCTCCAGGGTTCACAACGTTTCCTAACATCTCTCTTTGTCTTCACTCAAATCTGCCTCTCCTTTCTGTTTCCTCCATGTCTCTTCTCCCATCATGCCTCCTCCTCTCATCATGTTTTTCTTCATCTGTCTCCTTCCTCTCCTTCCTCTCTCCTCCTTCATCTGTGTGCTCCTTCCCTAAGTATGTCTGTCTCCTCTTTTTCTATCTCTACTGTCTCCATATTTTTTTCTTCTATCTCTAAGTTTCTCCTCTAAACTAATTCTAAGTCTCTCTCTCTCTGCATGTCTCCTTTCTAAGTCAATCTTTCTTCTTCATTTCTCCTTCCCTCCTCCCTTCAAGAGTAAATACAAATGACAACAGCTTGGGCATGAGATAGTACAGCTTCGACATTCATTCACACCCCCAGATAAACCCAGGAGAATCGAGACACAAACAGGGGGTAGTGGGGAGGTGGGGGGGGATGTCAGAGAAAAGATTGGAGGAAAAAAATGCAAGCAACCTGGAGAACCAAATATTGTGCCTTAAAAAACGCAAAAAGAATTGGGGGGGGGGGCTGGCCAAAAGTCAGAGAAAGGAGTTTCTATCATTTCAAGGCCCTGACTCCCTTTCTTGAGTCTTGAGTTCCAATCTTTTTCAGGCAGGTAGAGACCTGGCTTGGGACTCAGGAAATCTGGGCCCTTCAGAAGATTATGGTTCTGGTTTGGATTCTGTCACTAATTAGCTATGTCCTTAGGTATGTCACTCCTCCTTTGTAAACTAAGAGGTTTGGACTCTAAGGATCCTACCAGCCCTGACATTCTAGGGTTCTCTGAAGTCAAGAACAACTGAATTCTCAAGTCTGCAAACAGGGCTCATAGATCCCTAAGGCTTCCTTCTGGCCTACTCTACTCTCTCCACTAGGCCAGGGAAGGCAGGACAGAGAAAGACAGCAAGGGCAGCAGCTGGCAGGGCCAACCCATTAACTGCTGTCTTTGCTCTATTATTGGGGCACTCCTTAGAATTTTAATATAACTTGCCCCAATTTGTTACACAGGCAGATCAGTGGGCACAAGCCTAGTTTTTGCAGTAGCCTTCTTAGATCAATCTGTGTTTTCACATGTGAACAGAGGAAACGGAAGGGGGGAGTGCTGGGGTGCTAGAGACAATCTGTCTCTTGCTCACCCCCTCTGGGAAGCAGTAAGCTCTTTGGCCCCCAGCTCTGCCAGCCTGCTGCTAATGTCCCTGTGACTGTCTCTGGTACAAGCCTGCCACCCCTCCCCAGCACTGGCAGAGGTGTTATAAAACGAACTGCAGGGCGTGAACAAGTCCGCCTGGGATGGCTGTAGATTTGACACTCAATTTGTTAGAGGGAATCGAGCTGCTAAAGCAAGAAGGGGTGGTGTTTGAAGTTTTAACATCCTAGGGTGGAGAGAAAAGCAATGGAGTCAGAGGAGCTGGGTTCAAATTCCGCTTCTGATATCTGCAACCTCAGGCAAGTCACTTAACCTTCCTGGGCCTCAGTATTCTCATCTGAAAAATGAAAGGTTTGAACTGGAGAGCCTCTGAGGTCCCTCCCAGCTTGAGATGTACATTGCCATAAATTTCAGACTCACAGAATGTTAGAGGTGAAAGCGGCCAAGAGGCTTATCTTGGCCAAGGATTATCTCCTTTTGGCAGTCTGATGGAGCCTAGGGATCCCATTAGATCCCTTCTCACAAGTGTTTTAAAATTCACCAAAAAAGGGGCAGCTAGGTGGCACACTGGATAGAGCACTGGCCCTGGAGTCAGGAGGACCTGAGTTCAAATCTGGCCTCACGCCAAACACTTGACACTCACTAGCTGTGTGACCCTGGGCAAGTCACTTAACCCCAACTGCCTCACCAACAAAACAAAAGAAAAAAAAAGAAAAGAAATTCACAAAATAAAATATATAGAATTACAAAGAAAAATCAATGACTTTGAAATGAAGATGTACTTCCTCCTCACCCCCATATGAGTTCTTGGACCCAACAATGGGAGGCCACTGACCCCTAGGTTAAGCACCCCTGATGCAGGCTAATTCTCTCATTTGACAGAGGAAGAGCAGTGAAGTCTGAGCCAAGTTTGACAGACAGCACAGCTTTCACCAGAGAGAGATGAGAAGTTACAAAAACAGAAACCATTCTCTTCCCTCTCTCCCTAGGAAAAGGTAAAGCCTAGTCCAAGATGTAAGAGTATAGGCAGATCCCTCATACAGGGCTATTAATAAGAGATTTCTGGGAGGGAGGTAAACAGCAGGGTGCCCAGAGAGGGGCAGGGGAGATCTCACTGAAGCCCTCCCTATTCTGCTTGTCGGAAGCTCCTGACCCAACCCTTTCGTGCTCCCATCAGGTAAGCCTTTCTGACCATTCTCCCCCATCTTTGCCTAAAGTGTGATTCCACCCTTTGACACACACCAGACCAGCTGACCAGTCACAACTGTCTTCTGAAGCCACAAAGAGCCTGCCTGACCCCTGAAGGGGAAGTTTCTCTCAGAGGAGGAAGTGAGCAGGCATGGGGGCCCAGGGTATTCTCATGGCCATCCATCTGGTCTACAGCCCTCTTCCTGGAGAAGGGCAAGAGTGAATCTAACTAGGCAGTCTGCATTACATTTCTATAGTACTTTAAATTTCTCTTTTTCTGATAATAATTCTGCAAGGTAGGAGCATTGTCCTCATATTACAAATAAGGCACCTGACAGAGAGGTTAAGTGATTTGTCCAAGATCACACAGCTACCCTTAGGTCAGAGTGGGGATTCAAGCTCAGTCCTGTCCTAACTTGGAGTCCTATGCTCTTTCTACTATACCACGCTACCCTCGCACAGGGCAAGGATGACTGGGAAAGACAGGAGTCAGGGACATCCTGGGTTGTGGATTCATGACCTCTGGTGCCTAGCTCTCATCTCTGGGCTTTGGCCCTCACCAGGCTTTCTCCAACTGCCTGGGTAAGGGCTGGGGGCTGCAGGGGAAGAGGGTTTTTACTGCATCACTCCCTCCTTTGGGGAGAAGGGAAGGAATGCCCAAAAAATTCACTATACCAAGAGGCTTGAGAACAAATTCAGTGAAGTCTTAGACTCCAATGACCCAGGCTCCTCCTTTTGTGTGCTTCCTTCCCTGTGGGGAGTTGGGGGAGTCAGAGCCACATATGTTTTATAAGCGCCTCCCCCCAAATCCCTGACATCCCATTAATACTTTCAGCAGTTATTAGCAGCTGATTTAGCAGGACTCAGCAAAGGCCTTTGGCTCACACCCTAAGTCAGCCAGCCCCCCCCCAAAAAAAACATGCGTGCTCTCTGAAGTCACACTTCAGACCCGCTCTCATATAATGTGGAGTCAGTCCAAAATGCCAGGCTCTTCCACCCCCAACCCTGCCTCAGCTGGCTATAGATTTCAAGTTTTGTCTCACAGGCTAATCACCCAGTCCTTTACTCATTGAAAACTACTCTTTTTTCTAATGTCTCCCCCACCAAGGCCCCAAGCCAATCAATTTCCTCTGGGTCCCCCACACTGAGAAAGAGGCTGAACTAAAGCCCTCCATCCTGGGGTCCTGATCAGCCAGCTACTCCACACTTGGTGGGGGTGAGGTTCCCACAATCCACAGGAATGATGAAGATCCATGAGTAACCAGGCTACTTTGTTTCTTAACTGCTCCCACAGTCCCCCTCCCCTCCAGCACATACAATGGAGCTATACTGAGGAGCTTTGCTCTTTCTGTTTCACTTCAACATAACCCTGGGACAAAGAAGAAAGGGGCTTGAGGCTGGAGAAGCCACACCCTAAAAAATAGTGCCCCCTGCCTTAAACAGAAAGGAGGCGAGATAAAGACACACCACTGACACCCAGCATGGGTGAGGTTGCTGGGGGTCTTTTTCTTCCCCTTGGTGCTCCCCCGACCCTATACATAGCCCACACTGCTTCATGAAGGCAGCGATGGTTGGTAAAGCAGATGGGATATGGCTGAGGACATCTTAGACAGGCCACTCTCCTGGGAAACAGAACAAGGAAACTGGTATGATTCCATGGGAGGGGTCAGTTTACACTGGAAAACTGTATGCTGCCTAGCCATCCCTATCCTCGGTTTCTTTTGTGAAACTTTGGGGAAAGTGCACACAGAGTTCACTTTTTATAGCCACCCCAATCTGACCGTAATCTCCACCTGGACAGGGGAACCTGTCTCTTAGAGAGTCTCTTAAATCTGGTCAGGTGAAAACAGGCTAGTGGTGGAGGTTCTTCTTGGCCTCACTCCTGAGGCCCAGAGAGCTCCCAGGTGCCAGGGACCAATGCTGGGCTGGGGTGCGAATGGGGAAAAGATCTACTAGAAACCGACGATGGGAATGGCTAGGCAGCAGGATGCCTTTGCCCTCTCCCTCAACTCAACACCAAGGCTGGTTGCAGGAAACCTTCATTGTTCCATCTAGTTCCTCAGAAGGTCCTGCCCTGTCCTTTTGGAGACAAATCCTTTCCCCTTTAGGTTATCTTCTACAGATCAGAAGCAGTTAAGGGTGGAGAGGGAAGCTACCAACTTTTGATGGAGCCAATCTCATCTTCCCACTGCCCAGGCTTCTCTGGAGAATCTAAAATCCTCCCCATCTTGTAGGGGAACAATCACCTGTCACCAGACCTCCTTTTGTGTCTGAGAAAGGCAGCTTTCAAAGCTGAACAGGTCACAAAGTTGATTCTGGACTGCACCGCTGCATCTATTTTTAACACAGGGACAAAGAAATTCATGCCACCTATTCCTTTTTTTTTTTCGCTAGGCAATGGGGTTAAGTGACTTGCCCAGGGTCACGCAGCTAGTAAGTGTCAAGTGTCTGGTCTGAGACTGGATTTGAAGTCAGGTCCTCCTGACTCCAGGGCCGGTGCTCTATCCACTTCGCCACCCAGCTGCCCCCATGCAACCTATTCCCAGAAAAGCTACCTCCTGCCTCTTCCCCTCATCTGAGGGAGGGCAGAGGGCTCATTCCGGTAAGCAGGAGATTACTAGAAAAGTGACAGGATGGGGGTGGAGAGGCAGGAAAGACAAGGGGGCATCAGAGATACCAAAAGCTGAAATCCTTATTCATTTTTCTCTCTCTGGTTTCCCGGCTCCCGTTCCCTCATCAATAGCCCAGCCCCTACTGAAGGTATGTGAATGAGAGTTAAGTACCAAGTACCCTTGACAGTCCTGAGACTCCTGAGCTGGGAGTGGGCCTGAAGTTACAGGTGACTTAAAGAGTAAGTGGGGGGTAGGGAAGGGGTCACAAGTGGGAGGGGAGGTGTGGAGGAAAGGAGAGGATGCTGAGCACCATACTCACATTTATTATCCCAATACCCCCTTCTCCTCAGAGTGCTGGGCCCCAAACCTCATACACAGAGCCCCCACCCCCCACATACCGGGACCGGGGGCCCCTGGGACAGGAAGGTGTCAACAACTCGTGGGTGGGGTTAGGATGGGAGAAGGGGGAGAAGTACATTCTTCCCAACTTGTCACCACAGTCCCCAGTCCCGGTATGACTGCCCCCTCCCCCTCTCACCCCACAGAATCCTAGGTGGGTGAGATGGGGGGGCAACTTCCCTCCACCTACGGGATGGCGCACGCGCGGAAGGAACTCTTCCCCCTCCCCCCCAGGCTCCAGGAGGACAACAGAGAGAGAGTGGGCAAGAGCCGGAACCTGGGACGCGGAGGGGTGAAGGCAGGGGCGGAAGGAGGGAGCACGGACACCAGGCCGGAAGTAGGGGGTAGCAGGCCGAACTGAACATCTCCACCCGCACATCACTTACCTTGCTCCTGTTCTCTCCTCAGGGCCCGCTGGCTCCATGATGCCTGCGGCTCTGGCCCTTCCTCTTCCTCCAGTTCCCGGTTGTCCGGTCCCGGCAGCGGACAAGACCGGAAGTCACTAGTCTTACTGGAATCGCTTCTTCCGGGGTCGAGCCCGCCCCCGGGTCCCAGGGAACCCGCTGTAACTCTCGCTAGGTCCCGCCCCTTCTGCAATGCCCCTCCCTCTTGTGCTCGGTTCCTGCCCCCGCTTTCACCCCTTGCTCCAGTCTAGCCTCCAAACTGGGAGGCTTGAGCTAACAGCTATATTTACAAGTTAACGTTAGGAAAGGCTTCCCTTCTACCCAGAATGGGGGACACACCAGAATGAGGGTATGGCAAGAACAGAGGGGATGCTAAGAACTTTCTTCCCTCTTAAGTAGTGATCTCCAAAGTGGGGGCCAGAGGGCCCCCCCCCGCGTGGGCGAAGATGGGTCGCGTCCCACCCTCCAGGAGATAGCCAATCCCAGGGCTTGTCTTCATCACAAGCCACGCCCCTCCCCTCCCCCCCCACCGAGTTAGTTATAACCTAGCCCCAAAGTAGGCGCTTACAGTAAGTAGCTGCTGGACTGGTGCCCCTGGGAAAATCCCAGCCTACCCACTAAGGGGAAAAAAAAAATTTGCAGACCCCTCCTCTAACTTTCTAAGGAACCAACGATTTAACAAAGATGTTTGCTGTAGGACAGAAAACTCTGCCAGATCCTAGTGCAGAGCCAAAGTTTAGCTAAGACCCAGTCCCTACTCATAGAACTTATAAATTTAGTAAGGGGATAAGACACCAACGTAGATTACTATGTTATATGAGTGCATGTCAGGGTGGAAGTTTGGGGAAGCTTCTTGAAGAAGGTGCCGTTTGAATTGTACTTTAAAGGATGGGTGAGGAAGGAAAAGGAACACAGTCCTAGAGTAAAACAACAGAGGTGAGAGAGGTCACTTTAAGCGAGCAGAGTTGTTCCAATGAGAGGCAGTGGCATGAGTGCAGAGTTTGGAGTCAGGAGACCTTGGTTCTCTGAACATCTCCACCCACACATCACATACCTTGGTCCTAGCTGTGGGCAGCTAGGGGGGAAAGAAGACAAAAGTGCTGCATCTGGAATTGGGAGGATCTGAATTCAAATGTGGGCCCAGACACTTACTAGTTGTGTGACCCTGGGTAAGTCATTTAACCACTGTTTGTCTCAGTTTCATCACGTGTAAAATGAGGATGATAATAATAGCATTCCTCAGGGTTGTTGTGAAGATCAAGTGAGATCATAATTGTAAAGGGTTTAGCAGATTGCCTTTCACATAGTAAGCGCTATATAAATGTTAGCTATTATTATTTCTGCTTCTGATCACTTCAATCACTTAAGCTCTCTGGTCCTCATTTTCCTCATCTGTAAATTAAGGTTGGACTAGATGATGTTTTATATCCCTTCCGTGTTTAAATTTAGGGACCATTCTGTATAGTCCCAAACATAGTCTGACTTAATTCTGTAAGAATAACAGTAATGTGAGACACACTATTGGTATGACTCTGGGTAAGTCACTTAACCCTGTTTATCTTAGTTTCTCATCTGTCAAATGAGCTGGAGAAGGAAGTGGCAAACCACTCCAGTATCTTTGCCAAGAAAACCCCAGATGGGGTCACGGAAGAGTTGGAGATGGCTAAGCAGCAAAATAAGAGATGAGCCTGATTGTGAAATGCCTTGAATGCCTGGAATGCAAAGAAGTCTAGACTTCACTCTGGAGGCAATAGGGATCCACTGAAGATTTTTTAAAGAGGGGAAGCATGAGCACTTTTTATGAGTAACAAAGATTATTCTGGCAGGGATTTGCTGAGAAGTAGAATTGACTTAGTAACTTTTTGGATATGAGAGATATCAGAGATAATCCCATGGTTTTAGCCATGGAGTCAAATATAATGAGTTTGGGTTGGGGTTCTAGTAGGAAATTCATGTAGAGCTATCCTGTTGATTGTTAGAAAAAACAGATATGGAGCTTAGGAGAAAGGTCAGAGTTGAAGATACAGATTTGGGAGTCACCTGTGGAAAGACAATCGTTTAAGTCAGTCAGCAAGCATTTATTAAATATCTCCTATGTGCCTGGCATTGTGCTAAGTGCTGAGGATACAAAGAAAGGCCAAAACAGTCCCTTCTCTCAAGGAATTCACATTCTGTTGGGGGAGACAACATCAAAACTAGTATAAACAAGATATGCATGACATAAATGGGAGATAATCTCAGAAGGAGGGTGCTAGCATTCAAGGGGATAAGGAATAAACTCTTGCGTACGGTGAGATTTTAGCTGAGACTTGAAAGAAGCCAGGACATCCAGTAGGTAGAGGTAAGGAAAGAGAATATTCTAGGCATAGGGGACAGCCACTGAAAATGCCACAAGTCAGGAGATTAAATGTCTTATATGAGCCTCAGCAAATGAAGGCAGCATCCCTGGATCGTAGAGGATGTGTAAGGGAATAAAGTGTAAGAAGACTGGAAAGGTAGGAAGGGGCCAGTTTATGAAGGGTTGTAAAAGCTAAATGAAGGATTTTATATTTGATCCTGAAGGCGACAGGGAACCACTGGAGTTTACTGAATGGGAATGATGGTGACATGGTTAGACCTCTGCTTTAGTAAGGTCACTATGACAGCTATGGACATGGATGAGATTTTCTTTTTTTGTGAGGCGATTGGGGTTAAGTGACTTGCCCACGGTCACATAGCTAGTAGTGTTATGTGTCTGAGGTCTGATTTGAATTCAGGTCCTTCTAACTCTACTACGCCAACTAGCTGCCACCATGAATGAGATTTTCAAGGGAGAGAAAGCAGAGAGAGAAAAGAAGAGCCAAGGACATAACTTTGAGGGGGAACACTCATGTTAAGGGAATCAGGTTAAGAAATAAGGGGAGATAACAGAAGAGGGCCATAATAATGTAAAGTTTCAGGGCAGCCAGATGGTGCAGTGGATAAAGTGCTGGCCCTGGAGTCAGGAGGACCTGAGTTCAAATCTGGCCTCAGACACATAAGGACACATAACACTCACTAGTTGTGTGACTCTGGGCAAGTCACTTAACCCCATTGCCTAGTCAAAAAAAAAAAAAGAATGTAAAGTTTCTGAATCCAACTGTGGAAAAAGTAGCTAATAAGTAATAACATGTGGTTATCAGTATCAAAAGGAGGCAGCTAGGTGGCTCAGTGGATAGAAGGCCTGGAGTCAGGAGGACCGGAATTGAAATCTGGCCTCAGACACTTAATAGCTGTATGACCCTGAGTAGGTCACTTAACCTCTGTTTGTCTTAATCCACTGGAGAAGGAAATGGCAAACCACTCCACTATCATTGCCAAAAAAAAAAAAACCCTCATGGACGGTATTGGCATGCTATGGTTCATGGGGGCCTTGGAGAGTCAGTCATGACTGAAGAAGAAGAAGAAAAACAACAACAACATTAGTATCAAAAGCTACAGAAAGGTCAAGGAGAGTAAGGATTGAAAACAGGGAATTAGAGTTGGAAATGAAGAAGTAATTCATTGACATTAGAAAGAAGAGTTTCTGCAGAGGAAGGAGTAAATGGTGATGAAGTTGAGGCATCATTAGGTACAGACAACTTTTTTTTTAAAAGTGCGTGTCAGCACACACATATCTATGATCCAGGCTATCTGGACAGCTAAGGTTGGTGGATCACTTGAGCTCAGGAGTTCTGAGCTTCGTTGTGCTAAAAACTGATTGGTTGATTGTACTAAATCCAGTAAGGAGGCAGGTAACATCTGCCTAAGGAGATGTGAACTGACCCAGGGTAGAAACAGAGTGGTTCAGGGCTCCTTGACTGATCCGTAGTTAGAATTGGGTCTTGAAGGGCAGCTGCACTTCTAGCCTTGGTGAGATTGGAAGCTCCTGTCTCCTTCCACCAAAAAAAAGAAAAGTGCTTTCCAACAGCTTTGTTTCTGTTGTCTCCCTGTTTATCCAGACAACTATGAGAAAAGTGTCTCTGTTGCACATTGCTGTGCATAAAGAGAACACAGGAGAGACTTTTCCTCTAGTGTTATCCACTGACAATGTGGATAACTGAGAATAACCCAGGAGAACTCTTCTACCCAGAACCATTCTTCTAATCTCACTGGTTAGTTTGAACTTTTCTCCCAGCAATTCCCACATGTTACCTCTGTAATAGGAATTCCCATTACACAACCCCCCAAATAAATTTTGAACTGGAAGGAGCTCTGGTCCTGACACCTGGATCAGCTTTACTATGATGAGTTACTGGGCAAATTACTCCTCATCCCTGAAGTCCAGTATCCCATCAGTCAATGTGCTAAGCCCTACCTGCCTTCTTCCCATCCCCCATAACCTAACCCCAGGGGTGGGGGTGGGGTGAACCTGAGGCCTTGAGGCCACATCTGGCCTTCTAGGTTATTGGGTGTGGCCTTTGACTGAGTCCAAGTTTTACAGAACAAAGCCTTTTATTAAGGGGTTTGTTCTGGGAAGTTTGGATTCAGTCAAAGGGCCACACTTGAGGACCTAGAGGGCCACATGTGGCCTTGAGGCCATGGATTCCCTACCCCTGCCTCCATCTATTCCCAAACAAAAGTCTGTGAGCAGAGCATAGTTATTTACAAAGCTTTATTCCAGCAAGGGGTTGGGGGAGCAGGCCCATTGGCAGAGGTAGGGAAAAGGGAACGTGGGTGACAGGGCAGATTGAGGGTGAGGGGAACCTTGTCCCACCCCCACCCAGAACAAGTGCATATCCCCACACACATAGGCTAGGTTGCATTCCCTGCATTGAAGCAAAACAAAACAGACACAGTTTCCCCCCCCAGACCATCTCAGGGTGAGAGGAAGGGCTCCCAGGGACTCAGGCATCTAGGCTCCCCATCAGAAGTAGTAGGAATGAAGGCAATTTCCAAAAAGTAGGAGGGACACTTGGACTCCGTGCCCTGGCAAAAGCTAAATAAGGGGGAAAAGGCTACAAGGGGTCCTTCACGAGGAAAGAAGCTGAGAGCTCCTGAAGCCAGAGAAATGGGGGAGTTTTCATCTCCCCCTGCTTCTTCCCCCCCTTCTGGGCTTAGGGTCCTGCCCTGTGGGTCTCCTATGCCTAAGAAGAGGAGGCTACAAGAAATAGAAATAGTGGAAGGTTCAATTATTGAGTCCAGTGCCTTGGAATCTTCAGCACGAGGCATGGGCCAGGACAGGAATGGGACTCAAAACTAACTCAACCTCACCTGTTCAGCTGGGGGGGGGAATTGGGGAGTAGTAATGATGGTAAGGGTGGGCATTGGGCATTGTCTGGGGGCCCTGGGAATCAGCAAAGGGACAGGCAAATAAGCAAACACATAGACTAGTCTCAGTCTCCTAGGTATCAGAAGCTGCAGCCTTGGCAGGTGAGAGGTAGGGGGAAGGGACTGGGGAACAGTGTTGTTCCCTTATCTTCCTCCCTCTTCAGGGGTCCAGGATTGTTGGTGGAAGGAGGAAACAGCATTCAGGGGTGTCTATGTGCCAGGGACAGGAGGACCAGGATGCTGGGTCCCTTCACCAGGTTCTGCAAGATAAGTAATGAACTGGCTCAGTATCTAGCCCTCTCTCTGAGCCTGCCCTGTGTCATCTGGCCCTCAACCCCAGTCCCGGACCTCAGCCAGTCCCTGTCCCTGAGTCCCAAGCCTGGACATGGCCCCTGTGCTATGAGCTTTACCCCTTCACTGTCTCCTCCAGTGCCCTCTGTCTCTCACCATTCTGCACAGCCTCTTCTTCCTCTCCCTTGCCTTCAGAGGTTCCGTCCTTCTGAGGCTCATCCAGCGGGGGTGGCCGCTCCCAAGGCCCCTCCAGGCCCTGGCCACAAGAAGTCGGCTGCACAGCTATTGGATTTGAGGTGGGAGAGTGGAAGAAGGAACAGAGACAAGTAGCTTTGTTTATCCATCTGACCCTGTCTCTGCATCTTTCTCCAGTCCATTCTGCCCCCTCAGTGTACGTATAAACACACACACACACACACACACACACACACCCTAATTGTCTCTGTCTCTCTTTTCTTTTGTCTCTCTGTCTCTCTGCTGGTCCAGTTTAGTATTTTGTTCCTTGACAAATCGGTCCCCTTCTTGCCTATTCTCTAACTTTCCTTGAGGAAAGGCAGACTCCCTCCCTCTCCCATGTTCTGTTCCATTTTTTCTCCAATGTTCTCTTTGGGCGGGGGGGAAGAGTAAAGAGACCCCTCCAAACAAATAATTCATCTCTTTCCAGTTCTGCCTATTTGAGAGGATACACTGTACTCTCTCTTGCTGTGTCTGTCCCTCCCTCCTTCCCTCCCTCCCTCTCCTCTCATGAATGCAAGCGATTAATTAGGGGGCAAGAGTTTAGACAATTAGTTGGCATACAGAATAAGAGATTCAGATGTTCTCTTTCCTACTCATCCCTTCCACAAGAAGAGGAGATGAACCAAATGTTTACCTTCTTACCTGGGGGCAGGACATTATTAGCACTTCTGCAAGCCTTAAAGTGCTGTATAAATGTTGGCTATTAATATTACTTTTCTGTTTGACAAGCCCTATGGGAATAATGCTTACAATGCAGCAGAAAGGATAGAAGTTAGGTACTTTGAACATAGCAAGGAGTTAAGAGAATGAATAACATCACTGTTCTAAGAAACTTTCTGTATAAGGCATATCTCCGGTCCAGGATTCCTCTGTGAGGCCAGGGACTCTTTCTGAGGTGTTTCTCTGGGCCTGGAAGACCTTCCAGTGGGATCTCTTTCTGGGTCTAGGGTACCTCCTTGTGTGGTTCTTATGGATTGGGGAGGGTCTTTACATCTGGGAACTCCTCTCTAGGGGATCTCTCTAGATTAAGAACTTCTCTATGGGATCTCTCTGGGCACCCTTCTGTGGCATCTGTCTTTGTCTGGGATCTCCTCTATGGGATCTCCTTGTATCTAGATGCCTCTCTATTCCCTATGGCCTTGTCACTTTTTAGGCCTTCAGTTTCCACTTCCTTTACATTAGGGGATTGGATTAAATGATCTTTAAGCATACTTCCATCTCTGACAGACTATGCTTAGGTCTTCTTGGACCTTCACACTGGTTGTCTCCCATACCTGGAATCTATTCCCTCCTCACCTCTGTCTCATAGCATCCCTTTCTTGTAAGGTCCTTGTCAGTATGTAGTGTTACCTGCTTTATATTTGTCTCTCCAGCATTTGTGTCTAGCACAGTGGCACAAAGTAGGCATTTAATAAATGCTTGTTGATTAACTGATTCCTAAACATAGGAGAGGAAGAGATTGGGAATCAGACACTTCAGTTCTCCATCCAAACACTAGAGGGCATTGTTCCCCTCACCACAGGGCAGTGGGTTAGACTCCTGAGTCTACCTTTGAGTTTGGGGTCCTGAGAGGAAAGCCGTAGGAGGCCAGCCTAGAACTATAGGATGCTTGAGGGTTCATCTCATCCTGACCTTTGCTTCTAGACTGACCTGCATCCATCCTCTGTGGGTAGAGGCTCTCGGGGAAGGGACCTCTCCAGAACCCTCAATCCTGTGTCTCCTACCTTTACCTGTAGGGAAGACCTTTCTAATTCTAACCTTAAACCTCCCTGTGGCAGCTTATTCTTCTTGTCTTTGTCTTAGAGGAGATCATGACATTTAGAGCCAGAAAATAATCTTAGAGAAGATCTTCTGGATGAACTCGATTAGAATTAGAACTGGGTACCCCTTCTTGATTTAAGAGCTTAGATCTGGAATGTATCCCACAAGCAGTGAGGCTATCTTTCCACAGTTTTGAAACAATTCATAAGTGTAAGAGAAACTACAAGCCAGAAAGGAGCTGCCCAGGGGCCCAACAATCTCAGACCTTCTAACTCACCAGGTTCATTTCTGCCCTTGACAACCTCTGCCTGGCTGGAGTCATCTTCTTCCTCTTCTTCCTCCTCCTCTTCTTCTTCCTCCTCCTCTCCCTGACAGCGTCTGCTTCCCTGCTCACCTTCTTCTTCTTCTTCTTCTTCATCAGAAGGCTGGTTCTCATTCAGGTTGCTGAGGGACTGCAGGTGTGATTCAGCAATGCGCTGGACAGCTGGCATAGAGAGGGCATTGTGGGTCATCCATGCCCATGTGGTCACTTAGGACCAGCAGGGAGGATGAACCAAGGAATTTGCCTCAGAATTAGGGCTATGGGAAACTATGGCATTCCTTCTTGTGAAATAGAGGATGTCACCCATTTTTCTTGTGCCACCTTATATGGAAAGGGTCAGGTCTGCTTTCAGCAGCCAAACTGAAAAGAACATGGCAGGGGTTGATGGGTGAGGCTTAGTTGGCACCAGCTGTGCCCATAGTTAGCTCTGAGGTAGCATTTCTGGCCCCCAGGATCCTGGCAAAAGAGGAGCTCCCCCCCCAAATATCTTGTGCCAGGCGCCAGAGCCCAGGCAAGACCAAATGGGCAGAGTATTGAGTCAACGTTCTGTGTCCAGGAAGCCAGCAGCCAATATGGCCTGTGATTCAGCTGGAGAGTGGGCCATGTTGTGGAGCCAGAGTGACAGTGGGCAGAGAGGAAACGCCCAGCTGTCCCCCACTCCCCAAGGACATAGGGGTACCTGGGAAAAGGGCTTTTTTCCAGAGGGCAATATGCCAGTGTCACAGAAACCTCTCACTATTCCCATTGCCAGGCTGGGCGTGTGCTGGTCCAGAATCACCTCTTTTTTTTTTTTCTGGCAGAAGACACCAATAATGGTCTGAGCCTTTGGACACTCTGCCTTATCATCATATGATCATAGATACAGAGTTGGAAGGCGCTTCAGAGGCATTTTGTTCAACCCCCTTATTTTCTGGATAAAGGAACTAAGACCTAGAGAAATTAAATGACTTGCCCAAGGTCACGTCGGTAATAAATGTCGGAGGGTAGAATTTGAACCCAGGTCCTCTCCAGAGCCATCCATGTTTCCACTGTAGTCTGGCATGCTGGGAATGTGTCCTGTTGGCCCTGGGAATGGGTATCTCACCCACTCTGGTTGGTGCTCCTAATTCCATTTCTCTGTCATTGATTACCCTTGATACCAGGCCAGCTGAATACCAGTCCAGCCCCCCTAGGTGAGTACTGGCTGTTCCCTCCAGGTACCATAGGGTGCTCACAGTCATGAAAGGAGGGTAATACCAAGTTGTATTGAGGTAGACAGAGTGTCCAGGGACCCAGAAAGTTCCCAGCCCAGCCCCCGCTGGCTTGACCCACATCCCCTCCTTCCCAGCTCCCTCTGCATTGACCTAGAAAGCAGAAGTCATTACGGGCCTCAATTGGATAGGGCTGACAAATAGGAGGCTGGGCACACACCTCAACAATGGGGACAGCACAGGCATGCTTCCTACTTCCCCAAGCCAGGTCTACAGCCAGGGAGGAACCTAACTAGGAGCTATTCCATCTTGGATTATTTGGGGGAGAGAAGTGGGGAAATGAGGGACAGGAACTTTAAGGACAGTGGGGGGAGATGAAAGGGCTGGGAGAATGGGGCCAAGACTAAGGGGACACTAGGGGAGGGGGAAAGGGCAGGGCTAAAAAATACTTGGGGGGGCCAGGGAGGATACTGGAAGAGAGAAGAGGAGGAGGTAAAGTCTAGAATGATTTCTGAGCATTTTGAGATTAAATGAACATCAAGGAAAGGAAATGTAGGATAAGATGCAAATGAAGTAGCCTTCTTTTGGAAGTCCATAGCTCAGGTATTTCTTCAGTGGGCCAGGTCCAGCTTCCTGCCTTTTTCCATCCCAACCTCCACTGCTTGGGCACACCCTCTCTCCTCCCCATCCCCAGGTTGGCACAGTGCCTCAGCAGGGAAGGCCCAGGGGGGCCTATCCTGGCTGGAAATCTTGCCTGCTGAGCCTGGGAGCAGAGCAGTCCTGGCTTCTGCCAGCTCCCTGGATGGCAACAGTGCCTCCATTGTCTGGCCACTGGTCCCGCCCCCAGTGGCCCCCTCCACCCCCTTCCCTCCACACCCCGGGAGACGCAGGCCTTCACTACAGTCTGCCTGACTTTCTGAAAGTTAAAGACGCAATAAAAACATCATAAATCCCTCCACCCTTGTCCTTGATCCCTTGCTCCAGAGGCTTGCATCAGCCCTTAAAAACTGAGGCCTCTGTATCCTGGCTCTCCTTGAGCCCCTAAAGGACTCAAGATCTTAGACAGCTCCCTTCCCTCTCTCCAAATGTCTCCCTACCAGCTTCTACCCATTTCTTAATATACTCCTTGCCCTCTCTTTCCTTCCTTGTCCCCTTCAAACCTTCCCCTCTACCATGGTCTCCTCCCAGCCCCCATTCTTCTCCCCTCAATGTCTCCCTTCTTCAAGGTTATCTCTCTCTAGTATCCTCTAATTTCTCACCTCTCACTTTCTAGCAGACCCCAGCCCCTGGCCAAAAGGCTAAATGAAAAATTGTGATAATAGCTACAACAAACTTTTACATAGCTTTTTGAGCTTTGCAAATTGCCAGATCTACATCAATACTTTATCTCATTTGATCCTTCCAACAACCCAGGGTCTCAAAGCAGTTAGCAACCGATATGTGCTTCCTGCTATTTTTCTCCCCTTTTTCATCCAAAGGAGAAATTACAGAGGTCCAGAGAGAGAGACAGAGAACTGACCTACAGTACTGTATGAGTGTAGGGATAGAAGCAGGGGATAGGAACCTGGGGGTGAGGGGACAACTTATCAAAGTCTTCAGGGAAAGGATGAGAGAATTTAGGAGTTGAGATGGGCATAGGAATTAGTAAAAGAAGAGGGGTGTCCTGATGGAGAAGGGATGGTATTGGGGGATACCCAGGATAAAAAGGGCCCAGGGAGAGAGGAGGCAGAGGCTGAGGTAGTCCCCTCACCCCCAAGCCAGGAACTCTGAGATAAATGGGGGAGGAGAATCTCAGAGCTCGTGAGGTATGAGCAGAGCCTGTAACAATAGATGTGTGTGTGAGATGTGGGGAGTGGGGGTTGTGGGGGGTGGGGGTTGTGAGAGGGAGCTCTTGAGTGGTGTGAACCCTCTGTGCTCATGCTGGAGTTTGGCTTCCTTTGCCTTTCCATCTCCCCTTCCCATTTCTCCTCTTCCCCTCCTGTATCCAACCAGGTGCTTCTCCCCATGTTTCTCTCTATCTGACTTTTAATTCAGGGCTGCTCCTCCTCAATTCCTCTTTGTCTTCTGCCTTTCCTTCAGCCAGTTGCCACCCCTCAGCCTGAAACACCTGGAGTGCCCTGGCCACCTGACCCCAGGAGTGGAACATTCCCTGGGCAACGTGAGTCCCCACTGAGAAGAACAAGGCTATCTTTGCCCCTCCTGCTCTGGCAGGGCCAGCCAAGTCAGATGCCTTTACCTAACAGAAAGTGGCGAGGGGGTAGGGCTGGACCGGAAGGTCCATTGAGTACCCTTCCAGGCCCTCCTGAGGTCATCTCTTCCCTTAGTCTCCAGGAGCCTGTCCCCCAAGCCTGTTGGGAGTAGGGCTAGGGATTTAATTTTTTTCTATTCTTTCTAGGTAGGAAAAATGCCATGACATTTACCATTCCCTTGTCCCAGGACCTCCTTCAACCCTCGTGGCTAGGCAGCCCTTCCCCACATTTATCCTCATGCCTTGCTCTCCTTCCATTCCCATCAGCTCTCCTCTTCTGGGGAAACCTCAGTGTCTTTCCCTCTTCTTTAGATGGGAATATTGAGAGTTAAGAGATGAGGAAAGGGGTGACCCAGGGACCTCCCAGGGAATGGGAGCCAATCAGTTACCTATGACTAATAGGCTACAGTCCCATCTACCTTCTCTTTTCACTCCCAAGCTGGATGCACCTGTTGACTTTGGCTGGCATGCTATGCTAGTTAAAGCCACCCCCACCCCAGGAGCTCCAGGAGCTCATTCCACTTTTTCTGGCCTGGGGAAGGGGAGGGAGACAGAAAGAAGGGGAAGGGTCAGGAAGAGCCTCAGGCAGGAGCTGAGAAGGGAGGAAGGGCCTTTAAGTACTTAGCCCCACATAGTGCTCAGAAGGGGAAGATAGGGACAGAGACCAAGACATGATGGCTAGGAGACATCTCTCTCCTCCCTCCACACATAGCATGTAACTATTTGGAAAATGTTCAACACACAAAAACAGAGGTAGATTCAGTCTATGTAGATCTGGGCAAACACATGGGAAGGGAAAAGAGGAAGATACTGGGATTGTGGGGACTACCTCTCTTTCAGAAGAAGCAAGAAGGAGGACCTGTCACTTCCTCCTTCCTCAATCTGTGAAGATCAGAATGGTAGTAAAGAGGAAACAGGTTGAACATACAGAGTGGGTCAAGAGTTGGGCCCATTTTTTAAAGTTTTGACAATAGGATTTATAGCAAGAAGAAACTTTAGAGAATTTAAATACTTGTCTTCTTCTTACCCAAGCATGTACCCCTCTCCGCCCCCTCCACCCACCCCAACTAATTTTATGAAGAAGGTAACTGAGGATGGAGGAAGGGAAGTGGCTTGCCCAAGTCACAATCTTAGTTACTAACAGAACCAGGTCTCAGTCAGGTAGGAAGCCAGAGAGTTAGAGCTCAAACCCAGGTCTTTTGACTCCAAATTCAGTGCCCTTCTCTCTATACCACAAACTTTCTTCCTTTAGGAAAGCCAGAAAAGTGCTTTGTAAACCATGAGGCCCTATATAAACATGAATTTTTATTTTATTACAGACATACACCCCCCCACACACACACACCCATACCCACACACACCCATAGACATTTCTTTAGGTTCTACCACCTGATATATATATATATATAAAGGCTCAAAGACTAAATTGTTTCATGCTAATCCACAAGGCTGAATTACATGAGGAGGGATGGGGACTATAGAAGAAAATAGCCCATTTTGGAGATGCCTCCACTAAAGGTCTCTCTGAATCCCTCTTTTACCCCCTCCAGTCCATCCTCCACATAGTCACCAAATTGATATTCCTAAAGCACAAGTCTGAACATATATTCCATGGCTCCAGATAGGATAAAACACCAACTCTCCCATTTGATATTTTAAGCCCTTTGCAATTGGGTTCCAGCCTATCTTTCTTTTTAAAAAAGTTTAATTTATAATGTTTTATTTATATTCTTTTTTTCTATCACCATCATTTTCTACTGTTACCCCATGCCCCACCCTAGAAGAGCCCTCCTTTGTAACAACTACAGTCAAGAAAGAGAAATCAGCATGTTTCTATCCTATTTTTCTGGGCTGATTATATAGTACTCCCTTAAAGCACTCTCGGTTCCAGCCATCTATCCTATTTGCTGTTGCTCAGTATAAGATATTTCATATTCTACCCCTATACTGTTGTTGCCTACCAGGGGTGGGGAACCTTCAGTCTCGAGGCCACAAACTTGTAAGTTTGCATTCAGTCAAAGGGCCTCATTTGAGGACCTAGAGTGCCACAAGTGGCCTCGAGGCCACATTTTGCCTACCCCTGGGCCTAAGCCATCTCTGACTATAACCCTTTGTCTCTTCACCTCTGCCTCTTGGAAATCTTAGCTTTCTTCAAGGAGGCCTTTCCTTATCTCTAGTTGTTAGTGTCACCCTCTGAAAGTACTTTGTATTTTTTGGTACATATTTTGTATCTGTCTACATGCATGTTGTATCCCTTTGATGAAGAGGCATTTCCTTGCCGTCAGGGACGATTTCATTTTTGTTTTTGTATCTCCAGCACATCGCAGTGTCTGGCACATAGTAGCCATTTGTTGAATTTAATTGATTCCCTCCATCCCCTTGTCTGTGCTCTTAGCTCCTGGCCCAGAAAGGAGGCAAGAAACAAACAGAGGAATAAGTAGTACCTTTCAGAGAAGGGGGAGTGTAGGCACAGGGGTTGGGTCTCTTGGTCTTGAGATGGTGCCCCTCACCAGAGGATCTCTGCCAGAGGGAAAGCTTGGAGTTAACAGAGCAAATTATTCATTCCATTCTGTTCTCTTCTCCCTCTCCCGTAACCATTCGGCACCCTTCCCCATGCCCATCCTATCTCTTTCCCAAGTATTCTTTCCTTCTTTGTCCTTCCATAGTGTCCTGCCTAGATGTCAAGAGGAAGCTGAGCAAATTGTTCCTTGTACCACAGGTTGTGTAGGGGTCATGCTAGCCTTTAAGGGTGACCCACAGAGTTGCCCACCTTGGTCACTGATGCCTGTAGAAGGGGGGGAAGTTGATAAAAAGAGAGTCAGAGGTACCTTAGAGCCTGTAAGGTACTTGCCTATTGGCCCTGCCTCCAACTCCCTGGAGACCCCACCCTATGTCCTGGACCAGATCCTGTTTGGAGTATAGGAGGTAGAGTGAGATCAGAGAGGTGAGAACTATGGGAGCTCTGAACCTCCTTTCCATTCTCTAGGCCTATTTCCTGTTCTGTAAAATGAGGGCAATAGACTATATCAGGAGTCCTTACCTGATTTTTTTGTGTCATGGACCCCTTTGGCAATCTGGTAAAGCCTATGGATCCCTTCTAGGAATAATGATTTTTTAAAAAATAATAACTGAGGGAAATACTAAATTTAAGTTAGTGAAAGTAAAGATGTAAAATCTTCCCATTTAACTTCACAGGACCCCCCCCCAAAATCTGTCATTGGCTGTAGATCCCGGATTAAGAACCTCTGGACTAAATGATCTCTAAGGTTCCTTCCAGCTCTATTTATCTATGGGTCAAGAGCAGATATGAATAACTTGTGAATGAGATGGAAATTCATATGCACATTTATTTTCTGAGTCAGTAGTTTAGCCACTTTGCTGATAGGGTGACTCACAAAAGGACACAGTACTTTACATATAGTAGATGTTTAATCAAATCAAATTAGTTGAATTGATCTAGGTGACCCCATCTGTTTATATTTATCTGGGAAACTCTTACCTGATAGGGGGAAGCCTCTTCCTCTGGAACCAGACCATCACCAGACAAAAAAAAAAGATACTAGAATCAGTGTTATTGTCCCCAAGCTGCAGTCCTCAAGACCATGGTTAGGGGAATCAGCTTGGGGCCCCTCCTACCTATTAGTGGGGTAGGGTTGACAGTGAGGACCTCAGATATCCAAGCTCCAAGACTTACCCCAACTCTCTAACCTCTAACTACTATGACATTTTCCAGGGCTTCTGGAGAAGGAGGTAGACATTCCCCAGGAGGATGGGGCAAGTGGGATAACTGAACAGGAAGGGGCTGAGGGACGTGCAGAACCCAAGGATGGGAAGGTCTAGGAGAGTAGAGTTGTGGTTAGGGGTAACATCAGGATGGGGACCTACAAGATCAGCTGAGATACAGGGGAACACCAATGTCTGAACCCCACCTCTATCTGGAGGGACTTCACCTGGAGAAGAGTGCTCTGAAACACGGAACAACATGGCAGGGGTCGGTCTTCGGCGGCGGATCTGCAGAAATAGAAAGTGGGGGCCAAGATAGTAAATGCTGCTGACGCTCCATTTTGACCCTTACACCTATCAGGAGACAGGAATCTAGGTTCCCTAGGAGCCAATTCGAGTGATCATCTATGGAGGCATTTCCTCTCTCAATACTGAAGCATAGACCTGGAGGAATCTAATGTTTCCTCAGAGTCTTTGAGGGAGTCAGAGGGGAAGCACATCTGAGTCTGGCTTCAGTTGCCAGAGCTGTGCTATGCAGGGGAAGGTTCCCTCATGTTCCATTTGGCACTGCCCTCCTGTAGGTCAATTCAAGGGCTCCTGGGGAAACCCAATCCACATTCGGAGATGAGGTAGAGAAGATGGGCTCTGCAAGCATTGGAAGCATCTCTGTCTAGCATTACGTTGATTTCCAGGTGGAAGAGATTTATGCCCTAGTTCTTCTGTAGGGTCTCTCTTATAAAGGAGTCTGTTACCCCTCTATGGACTTTCTCTGCATCTAATTCTCTGCTATATAGTCTAGCTGGGTCTGGGAAACCTTCTGTGGAGGATCTCTCTCTGTCCAGGGGCCCCTTAATAGGGCTTGACTTTGATATAGGACCTCAGATTGATTGAACCTGACTCCCTAAGAAGACTGGAAGTGAAACCCATGCCATGCCAAGAAGGCAGTGGTTTTAGCCCCTGAACTGCTTCAAGAGCCTCAGATCCAAAAGTGGAGACGTCAATTAATTAGGTCCCCTCTGAGGGCTCCAGGGAAATTCACAGAGAGAACCAGGTGAGAGTTAAGATCCAACAATTATCTCCCCCCGTGCCAGATTACAAACCCTTCCCCCACTCTTTCTTCTACCAGAAAAAAAAAATGCTGTTTAGCTCCGAGGACCACCCTCAGCCCCCTCCCTAAAATGAGACCATGTATGTGAAAATGTGTTTTAGATGGTAAATTGATATACAAATATAAGGGATTATTGTTCTTGTTACTATTGTCCTTAGCCCCTCCTCCAGCCCACTTAATGGTTCCTTTAGAGCTGGGACTCTCACTTTCTTTGCTTTTCTTCAGAATCAGCTATATTTCAGCAGCAGGTGATACAGCTGCCATTTTTGACTAGTCAACAAGAGACCCCCTTCTCTTCCCCTACCCCCCCCAATCCACCACCACTGAGCCAGTGGCCCTTTGGGGGAGCGTTAAGCCCCAGAGACAGAGTCTTCAGAATGCTGGGCTAGTTTTCTCTAGAGTTGGGCATGGGATCAGCTTCATTTCAACAAACATTATTTTGAAATGATCTGGGGGAAGGGTCCTGGGGCAGGAGGTCTGGTTATTCTGTAGTCAGGGCTGAAGCTTGTTTCCTTTTTGCAGGTGGGGGAAGGGAGGAGAGGGGGGTGGGTGGGAAGCATTTCCCACAGCCCCACCAGGGGTCTCTAAGGATCCCAGGGGAGCCTAGTACCTCAGCCCCAAAGAAGATGAATGGGGCCAGGATGAGGAACTAATAATAAGCTAGAGAGGGGCAAGATATTTGGAGAGGGAGAAAGCAAGAAGTGGTTCTTCAGGGGATACGAATAATGGGGTCAGTGTTGGGGTCCCTCGGAAAAGGAGCACAGCTTTTCTAATGTCCTTTCAGTCCAGCAGTTCTCAGATAGGAGGCAGCATTGCTGTGGGGGAGGAATGGGGACAGTATGTGGTGGAGCGGATTAGAGAAGGTTGGAAAGTTCCCTTGGTGATACATTCACGGGCTTGACCCACAAGCGCCAAGTACCCCTGGCTGCCCAGCTGCCCAAGGCTCTCACTGAAAGATCTAGGGGAGAGGAGGGGGACCTAGTGCCCCAGGAAAAAGTTGACCAACTCTCCAGCTAACTTTGAGAGTTTCAGTTCCCTCCCCCCCACAATTGCCATGTCAACATTCCCCTGGGTAACAGGAGCCCCCCCCTCCAACCCCACTTGCCTCTGTACCATCCATCCTCACCCTTTGCTCTTAGTCCCAAACCCCTCCCTGTCTAGCAGGCAGGACTCCAGCCTGGCATTTGGTGGATAGGACAGGTATCCTAGGGAGGGGGAAGAGAAAGTCAAGTAGAATGTTAGAAGGGAGGTGGGTGCCTCCTGGGGCAGAGAGAAAGGGGTAGAGTTAGCCCTGGGTGACCACAATGATATCCAGTGCCCTCCTAGCCCACTGTGCTCCCTTCTCTGCTTACCATCTCCACCTGGCGAGGGTCTAGCTGGCTCGGGGGTGCAGGCACGGAGAATTGAATCTTCTTTCGGTCTTTGGGATCCATGGTGGGTACTGAGAGGTTGAGAGGGATGGCTTTCCTCTTACCTCTGTGGTTTGAGGAACCGGAGGAGCCTGTGGGTCCCGAGCTGTTCTTCTCCTCCTGGGGCTCTGCTCCCCCGCTCGCCTCCCTCCTTTTCCTTCCCCTCTACCCTCCCCTTCTCTCCCCTCCCCTTCCCCTCAGAGGGTGCGGTGACAGGCAGGCAACGTGTGGAGGAGGACTGTTCACGCACAGATAAAAATACAGTACTGAGCGATGGGGAATGAGGATTTTGCAGGCTTTTTTTCCTTCTCACTCTCTGTCTCTTTCTGTGTATCTCTGTCTCTCACTCTCTGCTTCTCTCGATCTCCCTGTCTCTGTGTGGATGAGTGAGTGAGTGAGTGAGTGAGTGAGTGCATATATATGTGTATGAGAGAGTGAGAGTGTGTGTGTCAGAGTCTGTCTCTCTGTCTGCCTCCTGATCCCTCCTGTCCACTCCCTTGGGCTCTGGCCTCAGGGTCGAATTCCAGCCCCCTTGGCTTAGGACTGGCTCCTAGGTAGTTTCAGAGAGGGTGTTTAGAAAGGTGACCAATGACAGGAGAACTGTTTTCTCTTTGGGACTGGAAGGAGGTGGAGTAGAGAGTTGGAGCCAGGTTGGTGGGGGTGCCTCAGGCTGGGGGCCCCCTGCTGGATCCCCAGAACTGGAAGCTGCATTATTGATGGAGTCCAACAGGGTGGATAATGGGGGTGGGGAAGTGTGGAGAGGGCAGCAGGGAGGGGGGATTGGGGTTTGAACCTTTAACTATTTCATCCCCAGGATGCTCTGAGTCTCAGAGGGAGGATATGGTCAGAAAGAATGTAGGTGCTGGGCCAGGTTACATGAGTATGTGAAGATGTCAGGTGAGCAGGAATGTGTTGATGTACAGGTGGGTGTACCAGAGTGTGTAGGAGTGTAGAAGTAGGAGCATGTGAAAACGTGTAACATCTTCCCCTATGTCTGCTCCCTTCATACACCTAGGGGAGAGAGCATGAGTGCATGTGTGCTCGTGCCAGTGCTTGTGAGTATGTGTGTATAAGTATATAGGAGTGTGAGCATGTGGACTCATGTATGTATATGGAATTTATCCACCAGCTTTTGTCTGCCTGGTGCTTCAGAACATGTGTGAGGCATGTACCTTGTATATGCTCATAGATAAGAAGGAAGAGCAGTGGGGCAGCATTAGGGTTGAGAAAACTCTGGGGGCATTGAGCTGGGGGTGGGGAGTGACTGTCATCATATGTGGGAAGCAGAAACAGAGTGAGGAGGGGCAGAAATGCGGGAAGATAAAGACATCACACGTGTATTTTGTCACAGGTGTATTTTACTCTGTTCATCAAAGAGCCGTAGGCTACCTGAGCTATGAGGGAGCTTAGAACACAGAACATAAAATGTCAGAGCTGTAAGGGAGCTTAGAATATAGAACATAAAATGTCAGAGCTGTAAGGGAGCTTAGAACATAGAACATAAAATGTCAGAGCTGGAACACAGAATACAACTTGTCAGAGCTGGAAGGGAGCTTAGAACGTAAGATATGGAATATCAGAGCTAGAAAGGGCCTTAGAACAGGACAAAAATGCCAGAGGTAGAAGACACTTGAGCACGTTTTCTGTAAGCCCTTCATTTTACAGATGAGGACAGTGAATTGAGAACACCAAGGACTGTGGAGGGGAAGTGACCTGTGGCTAGTTAATGGTATTATAGAGCTAAGAGACAGAAGAACCTAGGTCTTCTTGTTGATTGACCGACTAACCCATCACCCGGGGTTCTTCCTAATGTACTGTGTTGCCTCTTGTTAAATGTATGTCAACATGATATAAAAGTGTGTGTTAATATCCATAAATCAATGAGTCAGCAAACATTTATTAAGCTTCTACTATGTGCCAGTCACTGTGCTGGGTGCTAGAGATACAATCTGTGGCCTCAAAGAGCTTATATTCTAACAGGAGAATCAATGGGTACATATAGAATATGTATCTGCATGACTTTGCATGTGTTTTCTGTGTATCTTTGTTTTTTTGGTGTTTTTTTTTAGAGTCTGTGTCTCTGGTGGGAGGCAATGTGTCATAGTGGATAGAAGGACCTCAGTCAATCAGTCAGTCAACAAGTACTTATTGTGGAGATATAAATGGGAAAGGACCAAGGATAAGTGCCTACAACTTGCCAGGTACCCGGCTAAGCATTGTACAAATATTATCTCAGTTGATCCTCACAACAATCCTAGGAAAGACGTGCTGTTATTAGCAATGATGGCAGGCTTGGAGTCGGGAAGACCAAGTTCAAATCCAGCCTCAGAAACTTCCTAGCTGTGTGACCTTGGGCAAGTCATTTAACCTCTCTTTGCCACTGGAGAAAGAAATGGCGAACCACTCCAGTATCTTTGACAAGAAAACCCCATGGACTGAGGTCTTCAGGGTCATGAAGAGTTGGATATGACTGAAGTGACTGAACATCAACAACATTATTATCCTCATTTTACAGTTGAGGAAACTGAAAAAGACAAATTAAATGACTTGCTCAGGGTCACACAACCAGTAATCAGCTGAGGTTAGATTTAAACTCAAGTCTTCTGACTCCAAGCCCTATGTTACATCAACTATATCACCTAGCTGCCTCTAACTTATATAGAGAATATATAAAGAAAGGCAGAATAAGTCCCTATCCTCAAAGAGCTAACATTCTGATAAGGGAGAAAACATGTCAACATATGAAATAAAGAAAAAGTAGATAGACGGTGATTTCACAGGGGAAGACACAAGAAGCCAAGGAAGCTGAGAGGCAGAGGGAAGAAGGGAGGGCATTCCAGGCTTGGGGGACAGCCAGTACAAAGACATGGAGATAGGAAATACGGATTATTGTGTGGGAGGAACAAGTAGGCCAGTATGAATGGATTGTGAAGTGGAGGGGAATCAAGTGTAAGAAGACTGGAAAGAAGGAGAGATTTAGATTCCAAAGAGAGGAGTTTATATTTGTTCCTGAAGGTAATAGAGAGCCATTGAAGTGTATTAAGTGGGCAAAGTGACATGCAAGACTCGTGCTTTAGGAAACTGGCTATGTTGAGGATGGATTGAAGTAGGAGAGACCTGAGATAGGGAATCCAATTCAGTGGCTATAGCATTAACTGGGGCAGCTAGCTGACCTGTTGGATAGAGCTCAGAGTTTGAAATCAGAAAGATCTGAGTTCAAATCCAGCCTTAGACACTTCCTATCTTTTTTTTTTTATTTTGGTGAGGCAATGGAGTGAAGTGACTTGCCCAGGGTCACACAGCTAACAGACACTTCCTAGCTATATGACCCTGAACAAGTCACTTAACCCTGTTTGCCTCAGTTTCCTCATCTGTCAAATGAGCGGGAGAAGGAAATGGCAAACCACTCGAGTGCCTTTGCCAAGAAAACCCCAAATGGGGTCATAGAGAATCAGACATGACTGAAAAATGACCAAACAATAACAAAAGCTATGATCCAGGTGATGATGGACTAAACTAGGGTGGTGGCTGTGTGAGTGGAGAGGGGATGTAGATGAGAGATGGTGTTGAAGATCAAAACAAGACGTGAAAACAGTAATATGTATGGGCCAAGGGAGTGAGTAGGTGGTACTGAGGTTGTGAGCTTGACAGTTTAGAAGGATGGTGGTGCCCTCCACAGTGGTAGGGGAGTTGGAAAGATGGGAGTGTTTAGAGGGAAAGAGAATGAATTCTGTTTGGGACATATTGAGTTGGAGTCATCTACAAGACATCCAGCTCAAGATGTCCTTAAGGCCATTGGAGATATATGACTGGAGCTTAGGAAAAAGATTAAGGAGATTCTCTCTCTCTCTCTCTCTCTCTCTCTCTCTCTCTCTCTCTCTCTCTCTCTCTCTCTCTCTCTCTCTCTTTCTCTCTCTCTCTCCACATGTACACATACACATACACATAAACATATACATAAACATAGTAGCTGTAGCTGGGAAGCTAGGTAGCTCTGTGGATAGAGTGTTGGGCCTGGGTGTCAGGAAGACTCATCTTCCTAAGTTCAAATCTGGCCTCAGACAGCTGTGTGATCCTGGGCAAGTCACTTAACCCTGTTTGCTTCAGTTTCCTAATCTGTCAAATGAGTTGGAGAAGGAAATGGCAAACTACTCCAGTATCTCTACAAGAAAACCCCAAATGGGGTCACAAAGAGTTGGATGTAACTGAAAAAAAACTGAACAACAACAAAAATAGAGATATATATGATATATAAAGATATGCACATTAGGAGATATATACATTGTATATATGAACAATACCCATAGTGATAATACTTGAACCTATATGGGCTGAGGAGAGTACCAAATCAGAAAGGAGAAGATCCCAAGATAGAGTCTTGGGAGACACCCATAGTTAGTGGGAGTGATATGGATAAGGATCCAGCAAAGACTGAGGAGGGGTCAGAGAGGTAGGAGGAGATCTAAGAGAGAGCAGTGTCATGAAAACCTAGGAAGAAGAAAACATGCAGGAAGAGTTGACAAGCAGTGAGTGACATGGCCCTGATGCCATACTAGTGCTATGTATGACCCAGGGCAAATCACTTTTGTTCCTTTTTTTTTTTCAAAGGCAATTGGGGTTAAGTGACTTGCCCAGGGTCATATAGCTAAGTAAGTGTCAAGTGTTTGGTCTGAGGCCAAATTTGAACTCCTGACTTCAGAGCCAGTGCTCTATCCACTGCGCCACCTAGCTGCCCCAGGGCAAATCACTTTGACTCTCAGAGCTCCAGGTCAGCATATCAAACTCAGATAGAAACGGATCCCTGCCACTACACATTGACCGAGAAAACCACAAATTAACATTATCTATGTTGTGCTGTATTTTCACTAAACATTCCCAATTACATTTAAATACTGTTAAGGTCCTCTTGGACAGGGAGTCTGACACCTCTGCTCTAGGTAGCTCTTTAAGACCAGAAATTTCATAAAAGGTGCTCACTGCTCTTAGTACAGTGTTTCCTCATCCTGGACTTCTCTTTATCACAGGTCCAGTCTGTATCCCTGTGTGTCTGAATCTACCTCAGAAGGATGGTGTGTCTGTGTAAGTTTGTGTGTGTGTGTGAGTTTGTGTGTGTGTGTGCGCCCCTCTGGGCTCTCTATGTGTTAGTACGTCTATGTTTACCAGCATGGTGTAGTTAATGAAAATCATGCTGAATTTTGAATAAGGAGACCTGGGTTTGAGTTGTAGCCCAAGCACTTAGTAGTTGTGTGACCTTGAATCTCTCTAGATAAGCCTCAGTTTATCCTTTGTGAAATGTGGGGGTTGGCCCTTGTGTGAGTTAGAAGCAGTTTCTTTCAGATAACTAAAATAACATTGGGGGTTAGCTAGGTGGAGCAGTGGATAGAGCACTGGCCCTGAAGTCAGGAAGACCTGAATTCAAATGCGGCCTCAGACCAAACGCTTAACATTTACTAGCTTTGTGACCCTGGGCAAGTCACTTAACCCCAATTGGCTAAAACAACAACAACAGCAACATTGGGGGCTAGCTTAGATCTCTGAAATCCTTCCAGCTCCGAGTCCTGTGATAAAAGATTTATAGTGTGTATAATGTTCGTTTGTGTCTCTGTAGGACTGTGTGTCTTTGTAGTGACATGCTATGAACATGATCTGACTTCATAGCCCTCTCCAGTACTCTAGACATATGTGTTTCTTTATGTGTCTGTACATCGGACTTCAGCCTCCCTGGCTGGGTGTTTGTGTTAGCTGCTCCTTCTCTTGGTCACAATCAGGAATTAGATGGGCCGGCTTGAAGCTGGGGGACGTGTTCCCTTCCCCCCTTCTTCCCCAGCTCTCCACACTCCTACCTCCCACATTCCACCTTTGCCACTCCTCCAGTGACTTTTTCATTAAACCCCGTTGGAGTCAGAGTCTAGGCCTCCCATAGTGGTGTCTTTGATGGTTGGAAGGAGGAAAGCAGGAACAATTCTTTGAAAACAGGGGTTGTTGGGTTCTGATGAATTCCCTTGTACAGGGCATGCTCCTGGCAGTAATTTTAGGACCAGGAGAGAAAGAGTGGTAGAGATTTCACACAAGGACAGGCACTAACTTGAGGCCCTGGGGTGGGGGTTGGGGGCAAGGAATTAGAAATCTTCAGTCTTTCCTTCTACCCTCATCCACCCAGGCTCAGTCTAAGTCTTGTTATATTTATTGACTTATAAGCTTGTGGCGAAGCAGCCGGATGCAAGGACACTGGGATTAGGGTGTGGGCATCACTGGCACTGCCCGTGCTCCATTGGCATCAAAACTCTGAGACACAGTGGAGCTGGCAAGCAGGGTTGGCCTGGAACCCCCTTCCCCCACACACACACCTAGTATTTTGAGGGAAAGGACATTTGGCAGTACTCTCCACACAGTAAACAAGGCGTTCCCAGCTGATGTCCCTATGTTTGAATGGACACAGTGAAGCCATGTCCTGGGCAATACTTGGAGGGTGGGCATGACTGGGGCCTAGAGCAGGCACAGAGCAAAGATGAGGAACAGGATGGTGCAATAGAAAGAGTGGGGATGGATTTGGCATCAGAGGACCTGGATTTGAGTCCTAGCACTACTATATTATGTTACCTCTGTGACCTCGGGCGAGTCACAACCTCTATAGTCTTCTGTTTTTATCATCTGCAAAATGAAAAAGGTCAAACTCAATGACTGATAATATCCCTTTTAGATCTAAATATATGATTCTATGAGAGGGAAATGCTGCCTGCATTGAGTGTCACAACCCAGGACAAATCACTTAGCTTTTCTGGGCCTCAGCTTTCTCACCTATAATATGAGAGGGTTTACAGATAATTTCTGAATCCTGTGAGCTACATGGAGGAGGGGAAAAGGGAAGATGGGCAGTGTGGGATCATGGACTGAATAGAAGGAGAAGGGATAAGATGGAAGAAGAAAGGTCCTGGAATGGAGATGGGAAGAATCTCAGGGGAAGTCAGAACCTGGTCCATAGAAACTGGTAGAGAGGGATGCAGGTGGCCAAGAGAACAGATGGGTGATGAGAGGAGGGTAAAGAGAGGACAGTGAGTCACCACCCTTTCCTTCCTTCTCTGCTCCCTCCTCACCCCACCCCCACCCCTGCACTGACGTCTGTTTGGCTCCTGCCTGAGTAGGGCTGGGGCTTGGAGAAGAGGAGTCTCTGGATAAAATATTTTAAGCCATAAAGGCAATGGGAGGGACATAAGTCATAGGTCACATAGACTCTGACCCTATAATGACCTACTTTAGTGCTTCCAGATCTTAACATATGGTCCTCTGAGAGGATAATGTTGCCTGGATTGGTGTCATGACCTAGGGCAAATTTCTTAGCTTTTCTGGGCCTTGCTCTCCAGGATGATTTAGTGGTCCCCAGGGCAGAGGTGAGTGAGAAGAACAGGCTAGCGAAGCCACCAGGTGGGGAAAGTAGAACTTTGTTCATTGTAACCTTGGGCAAGTCACACCACCCTGGAGGCCTCAGTTTCCTCTCACAGGGTTAGAGCAAATCACCTTTAAGGCCCTTCAAGCTGGAAACCTATAGGTCCTACCCAAAGTCCTAACACTTCCTTCATGAAAGCCTATGGACAAAGATTCTGTGTTGATTTTAGGGGGTGGAGGAGTAATATGGAAAAGGAGGAACAGGCAAGGAATTCAGCTGTGCAGGCAGACCCGGGCATGGGAGTCACCTTGGATTTGAAGAAGCATTAATAATGGGTAAAGCTGTGATGCAGCAGAAAGAGAAGATCTGAGGTGGAATGGAATTCTTGGCCCGTTGCTTGGCTCTTTGCTAGCTCCATAACCTTGGGTAAGTCATACATCCCTTCCTCTGGGCCTCAGTTTCCAACTCTATAAAGTGAAGGGGCTGGTTTGGGTGGGGTTTAAAGTCCCAGCTCTAAGTACATAAATCTCAGCTGCCCTTCTTTCCTCTCTTTCCCAGGCCTCTGAAAGCCTTGACCCCACTAAGCCCTATATGTCAAGGGCTCCAGAATAAGAAAGGGCAATGGAATTGGGGTAGGGGAGGGACTGACAGACAAGGACAAGAATGAAGAGAAAGACAGATTGGGAGAAAGCATAGAAGAGACAGGAAGGAAAAGAGAACAGTAGAAAGAAAGATCGACAGAGAGAGACAAAGACAGAAAAAGGAGGCAGTTAAAGAGAGATCAGAAAAGAGTGAGTGAGGGAGTAAAAATAGCAGAACATTAAGATAATTGCAGCTCACAGCTCTGCCCTCCGTTAGGAATTAAATGAGGTTTTATTACTTTGATTTTTTCTCTTCTGGATCCTACGCGATTGCAAACCTCCTCAAGAACTTGGGAAAAAAAACTTTTTTCAGGTGGGTGGGAAAGAGGTGGGGGTTGTGGGAGAGAAGAGAAGGGTAACTAAGGTTATCAGAGGTCACCTAGAGAAAAGGAAAGGGTATTGGGGGAGGAAAAGGCCATGGAGACCAGGGGACAGGGACACAGGAGCTAAGGCTAACTATACTATATTTTGATATTAAATTAGCCCTATGCAAATGAAATGCAAAATACCATGCTAATTCTCCTTTATTATTAACACAGGTACTTTGAGTAAAAGGAGCAAATAAATCCTAGATACTCAGAAATCTGGTCTTCTAGGTAACAACTCTTCCCACCACTCTGCACCCTTTCCCACCCCATATGTTTAATTTAATAATTTTAGCTGTGTGACCTTAGGTAAGTCAACTCCCCTCTCTGGGCTTCATTTTCCTCTTCTATAACATGATAAGAGATGGACTAGATGGTCTTTAATATCCCTTTCAGTTCTCACTCTCTTTAATTTCCGGCCTTCCTTCTTTGATTACAGTAGAGTCTACAGCCTCAAACAGTGCAGCCTAGTTCATTCCATGCCTCTTGGAGGGCAGACTGTGGGTTTCCTACTACGTTGCTTCAGAAGATGGGAGAGAGCCTCAAATCTGACAGCGTCCTGAGATGAAGGACTGAAGTTCCAGTTGTGACCAGCAGGTGTCAGCATCCAGCCAGGGTTTCCTACTGTGCCATCAGCTGGCGCAGATAGGACTGGCACCACCTCTGTTAGGAGCTGGGCATCACATCCATGACCTTGGCATCATGAAGACAGAGCCAGCCCAGGCTGGATGGCAGGGACATTGGCACACTGCTGCTGGCATGGAGTCCCTTAGAAACCCTGGGCATTGGCTAGAGATAAGCAGCCGAGGAAGGATTGGGGTGGCAGACGGTCATAGGGACTACCTAGGCACCAGTGGCCCAGCACCTCCATCGGGCACTCTAGAGATTCTCTGCCTGGAACCTTGAAATGAACAAATATCGTTACATCTTCTGGAGACTTGTGCTGTTTAGTGGGAGGGGAGGTGGTTGCAGGAGGAAAAGGATCCTCTTGGTGCCAAGAGGACTGGTAGTCCCCTGTTGTACAATGCTTTGGGACTTAGGACAGGAGGCATCCCTATGGGGTAGCAGAGTTAAACTCCGGAATGACCAGATTTTTGGAATACATGGGCTGAGACTCCCCTCTGGTGGCAGAAATGGGAACAGCGCACATCTTTATCCTCTGGTGCTCCCAGGAGGCGGTTGGGAGGAACAGCAGTGCCAATCTCAGAAGAGGACCCGCCCAACTCATTGTGGGAGCTTCCTCTGTCTGGGGCACCTGGACAAAGGCTGACTTCCTGCTTTGGACACTGTCTGCTGCCCTCCAGAGGTGCCAGCTGTCCTGAAGAAAAAAATTCCTCCTTCTGGAGCCAGTTCTTCCCCTCCCCAACATACCCAGTACCCTCCCTTCTACCCTTCAACAGCCAGCCTCACACACACACTCCAATCCCGGTCCAGTCGACTGCCTCCATTCCCTGAAGAAGAGGCCTAAAGTTAAAACAGCTGTTAATTTATAAACCAATTTTTCCGTGACTGCTTAATAAATCGCCAGCAGCTGCCATGCCCTCTCCTACCGCCCAAGCTCCTGGCCCGGTGGGGGGGGGTGCTCACAGAGAAGGGAGGGCCTCACAGAGAAGCTTTGAACTACTGAGCCCTAAGCTCCCCTTGACATTGTCTGTTTTCCCAAGCCCCCTGGGAAATATGGGCAGTTCACTGGACTTTAAATTTTGGAGCTCAGTTTGAGCCTTTTTTACAATGAGAGAGCCAAGGTAGGAGTGGGTTCCCAGAAACACTCAAAGGCTCTGTTCAGAAGTTGGGAGGCGGACTGTGTCTCTCACCTAACGGGATCTCTAGGGATTATTTAGGAGCATTTCAAAGGCTCTAGGATATTCCAGCTTTGGAGGGTGATGTGGGGAAGAGATGAATGTGCCTCCTTTAAAAAGGCACCACAGAGGCAGAGGCAGAGGCAGAGGCAGAAAAAGTTACCTGCCTGATGCAGACAACCTAGAGGAGCCCTGGTACCTTAACTCCCAGTTTGCCCCGTCCCTTAGGATCAAGACATTCACTTCCCTTCCCTTCTCCATTTCCATTTACTCTCAGATCCTGTTTTCTTCTCTGTAGTAGGATGGATGGAAAGGAAGGAGAGCTAGAGGATTCTTTCCTTCCCTAATGGAGGGGGCCCCTTCCTCTTTTCCCATCCTCAGAATGGTGGGAGATCAAAACCATCTGTTGGCATGGTTACTTGGTTCTGGCCTGAGATACTAAGGATTGAATAACTACCCTTGCCCCTGACAGCTCTCTTATTGCTCCCCTTCCTTATCCCATTTTTCCAGGGATCAGTAGGTGGTCCTGAACTGATCCAGCTATGTCCTTCCTGCAGGCAGGGGGCTAGGGACTAGAAGGAACACATCTGACATGTTAATCTCTTACTCCTTGCTTTTGAACCCCAGCTGCTCTTGAGATAGACTAGAACAGTGGTTCTCAAACTTTTTGGTCTTAGGATCCCTTTACATCTTCAAAATGATTGAGGACCCCAAAGTACTTTTATGTGAGTTATATCTATTGTTATTTACTGCATTCAAAATTAAAATACATTAATATTATTATGTCAAAAGTTTTTACCTCCTGGACCCCCCCTGAGATCCTGGGCCACCGTTTACAAACTGCTGGACTAGAGACCACTTCTTGGGTAGTTCCTCTCCCCTTGCCCTATATAAGCTGGGAATTGGGATGGGGAAGCTCAACATCTTCTGGTAGGACATAATAGAGGCAAGGCTTTGGTGACAAGATTAAAAATGGGCTAGAAGACCAGATTTCTGAGGTATTTTAGATGGTTTGGAAACCAGGAATCACAGTGGATCTCAATGGTGAGGGTCAGGGAGTGGGAATAGAGGCTCTCTTGGGGTCATCTTGCCCATCCTCTGGTCAACAGGCAGGATAGCCCTCAGCCCTACAACTTTGAGAGAAAGGGAATGGAGGTGATCTTTCCTATTCTTTGAGATTCCCAGGGAAGTAGAGTCTACAACTTCCCTCAGTTATCTATTCTTGATCTTTCACTTTGTGATCATGAAGTCCCTCCTGTTGTCTAACCTTTGTGTCCAGCCATTTTATCTTGATTGGTTTGCGGGTTGTGGTATGGTCATGTTCTCCATTCTACACCACCAAGGCCCAGTATAAAATTTCTCTCCATTGACCTGCTAGCAGGATTAAAGCAGAGAGAGGCAGGTAGTATGTTTTGTGGGCAAGAGAATCGAATTCCTAGTCAGGAAATTGAGTATGAATCCTGAGTTCAGGTTTTGTCACTTATTACCGTGTAACCTTGGGTGAGTCTTTTCTGCTCTGAAGTCCTAAATTTCCTCATATGATAACAAGGGGATTGGATTAGATTAACTCAGAGATTCCCTCCAGATGTAAAGTACTTGAATTCCAAGGCTCCTTAAACTTCCTCTTCCATCAAGCATCTCTTCCCTGGGAAACCAAAGCATGTTTCACTCAGACATAGTCTCATTCTGACACTCTGGATTTAGCAGGAGGGAAACTAAAGGTAGGGATAGGGGGTAGGGTAGGGCGGGGGTAGTACAGTCTGTTTATGGTGTGAAGAAAAGGACTTGGGGGAATGAGCAGAGTCAGGCATGAGAACCTGGCTTCTAGCCTCAAGGTACTCTGCACCTGCCTGCTGTGTCCCAATTCCCCTAGGGAAAGTGGTGGGTCACTCAGTAAAAAACCTCTGACAATTCTGGCTCCCCCACATCAAAGGAGCCAGATTATACTACCCCAACCAATGCCCCTTACTACCTCCTTGTAATAAAGACAGGTCCCCAGGGCTCACTCAATCCTAGGGCTTCTCTGCCAGGGTGCCAGCTGGTGCCAACAAGGGCGGGGGCATTGGCTCGATCATGTGGAAACTGAGAGCTGGAGGGTACTCTCCATAGGCCTAAGGGTGGCGAAGAAAAGGAAGGGGAGGAGGTTCTGTACCCAGGGACCTAGGTGGCACCAAGGATATGGGGCTTCTTCTCCAGATGACCAGAGTCAGTCATGCCAGCCCCCTTATCTGTGCCTTGATTTACTCAACCTGAGGTTGGTATTGCCTGGGAACAGAATCTTGGGGTCCCATGATTTGCTGGCATTCCTCCATCCTGCGCTTCCCTACCTCACCAAAATCACCCCTGGGCAAGAGATGCGCACAGGGATTTCCCTTCATCACCACCACTGCCTCTACCACCTTCTTAAAAAGGTGGGTAGGGCTCAGTTCTCCCCAATTTTCCTTTCCTCTTGAATTAAGTCAGGCACAGGTTTAGCATCAGTGCTGGGAATCTCAAAGCTGATGCCCCTCAGGATTGGAACAGGAAGCTCAGGGACCCACCTGAACCAAGCCAGGGGTGAGGAAGGAAGTCATGGAACATCGCCAGCTGCAGCGGGGGAGGCCCAGTTTGGCGCCTGTCCCTGAAGGAGGAGGGCAACACAGCACCCAGCCGGCTCCCCACCCCCACTCCAGCTACGGTCCTCATTTGGCGCCCCCCCCAACCTAGGCCCCGGGAGGTCACTCTCCGACGCCGCTTCCTGCTCCCGCCGCCACTGCCCCTTTAAGAGCCCTTCTCGGAGCTGCTGTCCCGGATCAGCCAGAGAGACCATTAAAATTTTATGCGGAATGAAAATGGGCCAGGTCTCCAGCTTCCTCGCTCCCATCCAATGATTTATTACTCGCAAATACCACAGAACTAATTAGTATAGTAATTAATTAATACACATTTGCATATTTGCATGTGCAATTAGTGCAGTGGAGTGATTACTGGGAGAATGAGGGCCCCGGATTGTCAGATGTGAGTGTGAAGTGGTCTGGAAAGAGTTGGTAGAAATGAACTTTGCGGGGAGAGAGATCGTGGGGAGTGGGAGTGGGGGGAAAGCAGACTGTGAGGGGGCTGAGGGTGGCGAGCTCGGGGTCGTCCAGTTGGAGGGGGCAAAGGGCAGGGCATGGGGAGGGGGCTAGGGGCGGCCGGACGCCTGGGTCCGCGGTTGGGCCATCACCACGCTCTTCCTCCCTGACGTCCCCCTCCCTTTTTCCCCCCTTGGCTGGCGGGGATGGGAGGCTCCGCCCGCCCGCGGATGGCACGGCTCCAAGCGTGCCTGAGCCCGGCCTGATTGTTATGCATTGTGTTTCTCGTTGGTAGCGGAGCCGGGTGGGATGGGGATAGCGCAAGCTGTTTCTCTGCCACGCGGCGGTGGCACCTTAAAGGGGCAGCATCCTTTCCCCGCCCTCCCGCCAGCTCTGCCGCCACGCGCCTCTTCTTCTCACCACCCCCCTGTACCCTTTCCCTTTCCCCTTCCATCTCCCCGAGCTGCCAGGCTCCTTCCCCAAGGAAATGACCTTTTACCACACCCCAAATCCTGCAGGGGGCTAGAGTGAATGTATGTATACCAGTGAGCAATGGGACACGTGTCCAGTAACCTGGGGTGGGACTGGGAAGGCTGTGGGTATGTGTGTGGGACGTGGATCAATCCTGGTTTTCCTTTCTAGTACATCTGGGGTCTGAGCCCTGTGCCAGTCTTTGCCCTCTGGCCTTGGGGTCGGGGTGAGGGGCTAGGGAAAAGGCTTTTCCAAAGGCCTGACAAAACATGTGCCTAGTCAGCACTATGAAAAACACTCATCTCACAAACAGACCCTACCTCTCTCTCTTCCTCATCTCCTTGCAACCCCTTTCCAGGCCCCTGTTCCTGAAATCTATTTGTGTTACTCCTACCTATCATTCAGAGGCAGCTAGATGAAGCACTGGGCTTGGAGGCCTGAAGACCTGAGTTCAAATTTGACCTCAGACACTTAGTAGTGTGTAAATCCGAGCAAGTCACTTAACCTCCGTTTACCTTAATCCACTGGAGAAGGAAATGACAAACCACTCTTGTATCTTTGCCAACAAAACCCCATGGACGGTAAAAGTACGTGGGGTGATGAAGAATCAGGAACTTAACAACAATCCATGATTCTAGGATAAAGACGGCAAGGGCTCACTTTGTCCCCACCTTCCCAACCCTTCATCTTGACCCTTCTCCCACTGGCAGTGCAGTATGATGGAAGGAGCACTGGTTTAGGAGGCACCTGGATCCCTTCATGCACACACACACACACACACACACACACACACACACACACACACACACACACTCCTAGCTTTTCCACTAAACTGCTGTGCAACTTGAGTCAAGTTATCTCCTCTCTGTGGGCCTCAGTGTCCTCTCCTGTATAATGGGTACATTGGACTAGCTAGTTTGTAATATCTTTTCCAGATCTAACTTTCTAGGGTTCTCTGGACACTAGGCAATGCCTCTACTGGGGGAAAAGGGGACTTGGAAAGGATACCTAATGATCCTCTCACAAGACATTTCCATGTCCACCCTCTTGCCCTGTAGGGTCAGCTGGCAAGAAGAGGTAAGCAGAGTCCAGGGCTTGGACTGTACCACCCACTGTGCCAGTCAGCCATCTGTGAAGGAAGGGGAGGGTGGCGAGGGAAATGAAGATGGTTTCACACTTGTTCTGGTCTCAACAACTCTGTCCCTCCCCACCTTAGGGACTGAGCCAAGAACTCTCTGGTTAATCTGTGACATACTGGTATGGCCCCCGCCAAATGCACCACTGACTCTGGCAGCCGCTCTCCTGCAGACTTTGAATTCTCTGGACGTGCTGTCTCTCTGAGGGAGGGGCAGGCCCAATGGCCCTAAACCTCTCCCCAAAGTTCCTAGTGTCCCCTCCTTCCCTGATTCTGAGCTTCAGAAATTTCACAGTGTCAGGGAGAGCCCTTAGAACAAAAGAGTGTTAACTCTAGAAGTGACAGTAGTACATAAAATGTCGGAGCTGGAAGAGCCCTCAGAACATGGAATATCAGAGATGGGAAAGACCTGAGAACAAAGAATGTCAGAATTGGGAGGGACCTCAGACTATGTCAGATCTGGAAGGGAGCTTAGAACATAGAAGGTAGAGTAGCGGAGCAGCAGAATATCAGACTGTTGGCAACTAGGTAGTGAAGTGCATAGAGTGCTGGTCCTAGAGTCAGGAAGACCTGAGTTCAAACACGGCTTTGGACACTTACTAGCAGTATGATCCCGGGCAAGTCACTTAACTTTTGTTTTCTTCAGTTTCCTCAATTGTAAAGATGGAGATAGTAATAACACCTACTTCCCGGGGCTGTTGTGAGGCTCCAATGAGAAAATCTTTGTAAAATGCTTAGCCCTGTGTCTGTCACATAGCGTGCACTGTAAAAAAGTTAGGTATTATTATCATCATCATCAGAGCTGGGAGGGTCCTCAGAACATAAAATGTTAAAGCTGGAAGCGTCTTAGCAGTCCATAGAATGTCAGAACTGACTGTTCCTTATACCTGGGGTGGGGGGAGGGGATGCTTTTCTTCCTCATTTCCACCGCACAGAATCCTATATTTCCTTCTAGATTAAGCTTAAGAACTAAGGTCTATATGTAAAGCCTTTCCTGTCCACCTCTCCCTCACCTGACCCTCCCATCTGCTAGTACCCTACTTCCACCTATCTGGAAAGGTATATGTACATAGTATACTTACTGCC